CACAGGGGATCATCAAGCGACCAGCATCTCTGCTCAGATATAAAAATGATGAGACTGTGGTCTACGGTTCTGGCATGAGATACGGGAACAAGGCACCGCCAATTTGGATTGGTGAAGCTGAGCGTAGGGTTGTAGGTGGACTCGAGCCAAGGTCTTGTGTACCGGTAGGATGATTTGTTGGTGGGGCTGACTGTAGGGGTTTGGTTGGCAATGTAGGATTCTGGCATGACATTATGGGAAGGAAGGAACCACCAAGAACAGTGACAGCAACAGGGGACCATCAAGCGACCAGCATTGCTCTGCTCAGATATAAAAATGAGGATGAGACTGTGTCTACGGTTCTGGCATGGAGATCACGGGAAGCAAGCACCGCCAATTTGGTTGGTGAAGCTGAGGGCGTAGGGTTGGTAGGTGGGAAGCTCGAGCAAGGTCTTGTGTGTACCGGTAGGATGATTTTGTTGGTGGGGCTGACTGTAGGGTTTGGTTGGCAATGGATTCTGGCATGACATTAGGTAAGGAAGGAACCACCAAGCGACAGTGAGCAGACTGGGACATCAAGCGACCAGCATTGCTCTGCTCAGATATAAAAAATGAGATGTGTGACTTGTCGGTTCTAAGTCCGGAAGCAGACCATAGGGCGGTGCCAATTTGGTGTAAGCTAGCGAGGGGTGGTTGTAGGTGGGACTCGAGCCAAGGTCTGTGTGTACCGGTAGATGATTTGTTGGTGGGGCTGACTGTAGGGGTTTGGTTGGAATGAGGATTCTGGCATGACATTTTGGGAAGGAAGAACCACAAGGGACAGTGAGCAGCAACAGGGGACATCAAGCGACCAGCAATCTCTGCTCAGATATAAAAATGGATGAGAACTGTGGTCTACGGTTCTGGCATGGCATCACGGGAAGCAAGCACCGCCAATTTGGTTGGTGAAGCTGAGGGCGTAGGGTTGGTAGGTGAAACTCGAGCCAAGGTCTGTGTGTACCGGTAGGATGATTTGTTGGTGGGGCTGACTGTAGGGGTTTGGTTGGCAATGAGGGATCTGGCATGACATTATGGGAGGAAGGAACCACAAGAGAGTGAGCAGCACAGCCCATCAAGCGACCAGCATTGCTCTGCTCAGATAAAAATGAGGATGAGACGTGGTCTAAGGTTCTGGATGAGATCACGGGAAGCAAGGCACCGCCAATTTGGTTGGTGAAGCTGAGGGGAGGGTTGGTAGGGTGGGACTCGAGCCAAGGTCTGTGTGTACCGGTAGGATGATTTGTTGGTGGGCTGTTAGGGGTTTGGTTGGCAATGAATTCTGGCATGACATTATGGGAAGGAAGGAACCACCAAGACAGTGAGCAGCACAGGGGACCATCAAGACCAGCATTGCTCTGCTCAGATATAAAAATGAGGATGAGACTGTGGTCTACGGTTCTGGCATGAGATCACGGGAAGCAAGGCACCCAATTTGGTTGGTGAAGCTGAGGGCGTAGGGTTGGTAGGTGGGAACTCGAGCCAAGGTCTGGTGTACCGGTAGATGATTTGTTGGTGGGGCGACTGTAGGGGTTTGGTTGGCAATGAGGTTCTGGCATGACATTATGGAAGAAGGAACCACCAAGAGAAGTGAGCAGCACAGGGGACATCAAGGACCAGCATTCTCTGCTCAGATATAAAATGAGGATGAGACTGTGGTTACGGTTTGGCATGAGATCACGGGAAACAAGGCACCGCCAATTTGTTGGTGAAGCTGAGGGCGTAGGTTGGTAGGTGGGAGCTTGAGCCAAGGTCTGTGTGTGTCGGTAGGATGATTTGTTTGTGGGGCTGACTTAGGGGTTTGGTTGGCAATTAGGATTCTGGCATGACATTTGGGAAGGAAGGAACACCAAGGACAGTGAGCAGCACAGGGGACCATCAAGCGACCAGCATGCTCTGCTCAGATAAAAAAATGAGGATGAGACGTGGTCTACGGTTCTGGCATGATCACGGGAAGCAAGGCACCGCCAATTGGTTGGTAAGCTGAGGGCGTAGGGTGGTAGGTGGGACTCGAGCAAGGTCTTGTACCGGTAGGATGATTTGTGTGTGGGGCTGACTGTAGGGGTTGTGGTCAATGAGGATTGGCATGACATTATGGGAAGGAAGGAACCACCAAGGACAGTGAGCAGCACAGGGACCATCAAGCAACCAGCATTGCTCTGCTCAGATATAAAAATGAGGATGAGACTGTGTCTAAGGTTCTGGCATGAGATCAAGGAAGCAAGCACCGCCAATTTGGTTGGTGTAAGCTGAGGGCGAGGGTTGTAGGTGGGAACTCGAGCAAGGTCTGTGTGTACCGGTAGGATTGATGTTGGTGGGGCTGACTGTAGGGGTTTGGTTGGCAATGGGAGGTTCTGGCATGACATTATGGGAAGGAAGGAACCACCAAGAGACAGTGAGCAGCACAGGGACCATCAAGCGACCAGCATTGCTCTGCTCAGATATAAAATGAGGATGAGACTGTGGTCTAGGTTCTGGCATGGATCACGGGAAGCAAGGCACCGCCAATTTGGTTGGTGAAGCTGAGGGCGTAGGGTTGGTAGGTGGGAGCTCGAGCCAAGTCTGTGTGTACCGGTAGGATGATTTTTGGTGGGGCTGACTGTAGGGGTTTGGTTGGCAATGAGGATTCTTGGCATGACATTATGGGAAGGAAGGAACCACCAAGGACAGTGCAGCACAGGGGACACATCAAGCGACCAGCATTCTCTGCTCAGATATAAAAATGAGGATGAGACTGTGGTCTACGTTCTGGCATGAGATCACGGGAAGCAAGCACCGCCAATTTGGTTGGTGAAGCTGAGGGGGGTTGGTAGGTGGGAGCTCGAGCCAAGGTCTGTGTGTACCGTAGGATGATTTGTTGGTGGGGCTGACTGTAGGGGTTTGGTTGGCAATGAGGATTCTGGCATGACATTATGGGAAGGAAGGAACCACCAAGAGACAGTGAGACAGCACAGGGGACCATCAAGGACAGCATTGCTCTGCTCAGATATAAAAATGAGGATGAGACTGTGGTCTACGGTTCTGGCATGTAGATCACGGGAAGCAAGGCACCGCCAATTTGGTTGGTGAAGCTGAGGGCGTAGGGTGGTAGGTGGAGCTCGAGCCAAGGTCTGTGTGTACCGGTAGGATGATTTGTTGGTGGGGCTGACTGTAGGGGTTTGGTTGGCAATGAGGATTCTGGCATGACATTATGGGAAGGAAGGAACCACCAAGAACAGTGACAGCACAGGGACATCAAGCGACAGCATTGCTCTGCTCAGATATAAAAATGAGGATGAGACTGTGGTCTACGGTTCTGGCATGAGATCACGGGAAGCAAGGCACGCCAATTTGGTTGTGAAGCGAGGGCGATAGGGTGGTGGGGAACTCGAGCCAGGTCTGTGTGTACCGGTAGGATGATTTGTTGGTGTGGGCTGACTGTAGGGGTTTGGTTGGCAATGAGGATTTCGCATGACATATATGGGAAGGAAGGAACCACCAAGAGACAGTGAGCAGCACAGGGGACCATCAAGCGACCAGCATTGCTCTGCTCAAGATAATAAAAATGAGGATGAGCTGTTGTCTACGTTCTGGCATAGATCACGGGAAGCAAGGACCGCCAATTTGGTTGGTAAGCTGAGGGCGTAGGGTTGTAGGTGGGAACTCGAGCCAAGGTCTGTGTGTACCGGTAGGATGATATTGTTGGTGGGCTGACTGTAGGGGTTGGTTGGCAATGAGGATTCTGGCATGACATTATGGGAAGGAAGGAACCACCAAGCGACAGTGAGCAGCACAGGGACCATCAAGCGACCAGCATTGCTCTGCTCAGATAAAAAATGAGGATGAGACTGTGGTCTATGGTTCTGGCATGAGATCACGGGAAGCAAGGCACGCCAATTTGGTTGGTGAAGTGAGGGCGAGGTTGGTAGGTGGGAACTCGAGCCAAGGTCTTGTGTGTACCGGTAGGATGATTGTTGGTGTTGCATGCATGCATGAACCTTGCATGCATGCATGGGTGGTTGGTCGCAGTTTGTCCGTTGGCCTTGGGCTCATTGGTTGGTGCTGTTGGTTTGGTTGGTTTGGTTTGTGTTTGGTTGTTTGGTTGTGGTTTGGTTGATTGGTTGGCTGCGTTGATATCTTCCTGTGTTCCTAATGTAAAGCATGCATGCCACCTTCATTCAGCGAAGGGGTAGAGGAACAGCCTCGGAAAACAGACCCCGATCCCTTCTCAAGGTTCAAGTGAACTCCGAACTCTGGTGACATGCTTTTGCATGCTGGTTCACTAGTGGACCGTACCTGGATGTTTGTTGATGAGAACATGACTGGATGAGGAACTGACCATTGCCTTGCTCGAGGATGAACCACCGCAAGACGATGGACTAGAAGAAGCTGTGGCGGTTGGTTGCTGGCCAAAGAGTGGACGATACATCAACAGTGCCATCGTCATGCCCTTCGCTAGCGGACCGTACCTGTTTGCTGTTGATGAGACTGGATGATGAACCGACCGTTGCCTTGCACGAGGACGAACCACCATTGTCAACCATTGTCAAGGCCTAGGTTGGAAACTAAAAGAGATGAGGCGGCAACGGTCGACGACCGTGAAGCAATTGACACAAAAGACAGGAACACATTGGAGTTCAGACTGTTGCTGCTCTTCGCGCTAACTTGCTGGATAGACGTTGACGTTGGCGTCTCTTTTGGAGAGAAGAGGATTTTTGGGGGTCTTGTGACTGATGGGGATGTTGTAGGCTAGTAGCAAGCTCGACGTGCTTTTCTGTGTGGGTGCGGCTTGCAGGGTGAAACAAAGTCCGAGGGAGGACCGTTGTAATTGTGCTTCTGCCAGGGTCGCTTGCCAGGAGACGTGACGGTGAAGCTGCCAGCAGGTTTGGTGTAGCACCGGTGATTGGTTGGTGGAGCTGTAGAAGGGTTTGATGCATGCATGCTGACACTATTGTACCCTACCTGAACAATTTGAGTTCGGACTGTTGCTGCTCTTGCATAATCAGCTACACCCCAACAGAGCACAGCGCTGACATGCCACCCCAGGAAGAAGAAGAGGATCTGTAGGTAGCTCCACTTGGTGGTGGTGTGGGTAGCTCTGTTGGAAGGGGTGTCAGACCAGGGGATGGTGGAGATTTTGATTCAAGCAAAGTAAAACCACGTAGCCGACGGCGCCTTCTAGAGATACCAACGGCACGTCCCGTGGTGGTGTTCGCAGGAAAGCGGGTGGGCGTGGTTACAGCAAAGGAAGTCAGCTTCCGTACAAACGCAGTAATTTTTCCACTGGCTCCACTGGCAACGTTGGAGGAAGGAATATTCGGCAGAGGAATTACATCTTCGATTGCCCGCGACGGAACGATGAGGCGGATGAAGAGGTCTTGGGTTGCCACTTGGAGGAGGCGACGCCGTTCAAAGAGGCAGGTGGAGGCGGCTTCCGCTTCGGTTTTGTAGGAGGTGGCTACCAAGAGTGGCTGATATGGCAGGTTGGTTGGACTGGAAGAAGCTGTGGCGATTGGTTGCTGACCAAGAGTGGCCGATACATCAACAGTGGCAGGTTGGGTTGGACTAGAAGCATCTGTTGGCATTCAGCTACCGGGTGGTTGGAAAGCGGAGTTGGCGGGGAACAGAATGGAGATCAACGGTTGCTTCACCCAAGTATCTTCTTCCCGTCTTGTTTGTCTCTAAGAAGAAAAGAAAAGAAAAGAAAAGAAAAGGCAGAATGGAACAAGAAAGCGGTTAGACTTGAGCTGAGAACAAAAGCAAAAGCAAGGCGCATGCATGCATGCATGTCACTTTGGTTCAGTGAAGTGATGAAGGAAGGCTTTGTAAAGTTTCTGTCCCCCGCCACTTCCAACGCCGTTTATGTTGACTCGCAAGGAGCAAAGAACTACTAATGTCATGCATGCACGCCATGCGCTAGCGGACCGTACCTGTTTGTTGCCTTCACGAGGACGAACCACCCCAACAAAGGACTGGAAGAGGAACGGCCACGGCGCCATTGTCAACATTGAGCAGACCTACGTTGGGAACCAAAGGAGATGAGGCGACAACGGTCGATGACCGTGAAAAAGCAATGGCACAAAAGACAGGAACACATCGACTTACCTTTGCACGAGGACGAACCAACCCACAACAGGAACCACCGCAAGATGACTCTGGATCCGTTCAACCACACAGCGGTCCGCGCGAGGGTCCGCCCGTAGACGCACATCTCGAGGCACGTGAACGTGGGACTCTCAATACCATCATTGTCATCGTCATGCATGTCTTCGAATAAGACAGAAGGAGTTGTTGTGTTGTGCTGAGAGAGAAAAAGCTTGCTTGAGGCAAGGTTTTTCGTTGCGTTCGTTTCATTTTCATTTTGCAAATCAAACCTCAGAAACGTCGCCATGGTTTCAAAAAAGTTTAGAATTGAATGAAACGGCCGCCAACAAAGGGACGAGCAACGGTCGATTGATCATTCGTTGGAGGCTCCATCCAATCACTCTCCTACGGTACGGGTAGATATCCGAGTTGTTTTCATTGAAATCATAGCAGCGGCTTCGTGTCATGCCATGTCATGCCGCCCTTTTAAAGAGAAAGGAGGTGTCCCGCCGTTGAAGATACGTCGAACGGAAGAAGAAGGAGTGACTCAGTCTTTGAACGGAAGAATCTCGCTACCGCTGCCGCTGTTTCCAGACTACGTTATCCAATCAAGAGAAGTACTGTATGTCATGGTGGAGACTTCTTCAAAAGGAGTACGGTACAGTAGCCGCTGTGAAGAGGAGAGGTAACATCATCTTTTTGAGGTATCGAAACAACGAACAAATCCATCTTGATGGCTATTCTGGTTGATTCGATTCGGAAGCTGGACGTCATCAGACGTCAGTTGAGCCCTTTTCTGCTAGGCATGTGGCTGGATTACTCCTAAATCTTTTGGTGACATCAATTCATTATTTGTAGTAGCATTCTTAAAATCAATAAAGCCGATTCACAGGCTTACACAAGTGTATCGTTGAAAACCTTGGTGGAGCACATCCATCACATCGAGTAGCAAAGCACACGATCTGTTCCTCTCCTGCACATTGTTCTCCGACACAACAAAACTGATTCATGGAAAACACCGATCTTGTATTGTAGTCAAGGTTCAGGAGGAGGCTGAGGCCGCAACCAATCGAAAGCGGGAGAGTGGCGGAATCATGGAGTATCTTGAAAACATGCAGACAACCTTGGACACTTCAGGCATGCTCAAGCATGTTTTCACATGGTGTATCAGATCGCAAATCACCATGTAGCCAGGCCATGGGCCCACGACTAGCTTGGCCAAGTATCGATCAATGGAACCCGTTCATCTAGCATCTTGTCAGGGTAGCCAAAGAAACCTGTTCATGTCGGGTCGCAGCTGGCTAGTGGCAATCATCTTGGTGGTTGCTTCTTTCCCACAACAATGAGAGATTCAATGGAGCCCTTCTGCCGGTCGAGCCGTAGTATCATTACAGTCTCGTTCCCTTCATTTGCCATGACAAACAACAATATCAAACTCGTGATCCGGTGATGGCAATCTCATTGTTCCTTTCACGGTGGTCCGTCACAACCTGTGCACAAGACTGACCCAGGGTCGTCCAATCCAGATGTATCTGTTCATAGCTCTTTCGCTTTTGGGATGGTTGGAGGATGGATCCTCGTTCTTCTTCCACCACCAATTCAAAATACTTCTTGACCATCTCCAGCTCGTGGACTAATGCAGTTCATATAGATGTTGAGCAGCGAGTCCCTTCCCTTTTGCTGATTGCGATCTTTGTTTTGAAAGACAATTTCAATGACTTGGACCAGCCGAAGACCTTCTTGCTTCGGCAAGGTGTCAACATCAAAGAATCAAAATGGAGCTGATCATTGATGGCCGACCGTTGTCATTGGCCAAGGTATGGTACGATCGAGTGGTGGGTCGAATTGACATGTCGGAGGAGCAAATAGCATCCCTTGGAGCAGCGTAAGGAACTCGCCCGTGGTAGATATGGTAGCAGCCAGTCTAGTCTATCCGAGTTTCCATTGAAAGATTGAAAGCATAGCAGTGGCTTCGTGATGTGTTAGAGAAGCATCCATATTTCGTGGCGATTGTCTACGCACTGACTGGAACTGGGACCATGAAAGGTGAATGGACCAAGATCCTCATTTTTTCCCATGGTGGCGGAGGCCAAAGGTGTGCTCGTTGCGTTTTGTTTTAGGGATCCCACCGTTCGTTTCGTTGCCTCCTTGATGATGATGATGACGATGATGACGATGAGCGACAAGATACATCTTCTTCCTGGCAAATGGCTTTTCTTTTTCGGTGGGCAGTCTTCTGCACACGCTCACCATCATTTGCGGGGCGTCTTTCTGCTGATTTCTTCCTGGCAAATGGCTTTTCTTTTTCGGTGGTGCGAGTGGTCTTTTGGACTACCGCGCGGTGAACTGTTCGGACTAACCCGCACTGCGGGGAGAATTAAGGCAGGTCACCAACCACTATCATTTGCTGGGCACTTGAGAAAAGGCTCCTCTTTCCTGTTCTGGCTAGTAAATGACGACAGACTTGTTCGGACTGACCCGCGCTGTGGGGAGAATTAAGGCAGGTCACCAATCCACCGTCATTTGCTGGTCAGGACATGCCTTTTACTTTGATGCAGTATCTCCTCATTGGTTGCTGCTGGCCATTGGTTTCCCTTGGTCGTCGTTGGCAACGATGGCGCTCGTTTTGGGAATTATTCGTCACTATCGTCGTTTGTTAATGGCCGAACCATTGTCTAACCCATTCTGTTTTGCTCATCTTTCTCTTACTGTACCAGCACCAGGACCAAGACAAGAATGGACGAGTGTACTGTACGGTCGGTGAACATGGTTTGTGTTGTGAGGCTTTGTCACACTCCTTGGTGGTTACGGTGGACTGTGCTACGGTTGGACACCAATGGTGGCTCTCGCATGTGCTACGGTTGGACACCATTGGTGGCTCTCGCATTGGAGCGCTGTGGCTTCATTGGCGAATTGCTGGGACAGTTTGGCTCATAGGGTGGTGACCACTTATATCCTGACGTTGATTTTTGAGGGTGTCCTTGCTATGCGAAATGCTTCTCCCTCCCATTTGTGTGTCCAGTTCCACCAGCTTGTCGAAGGCCACCAGTCTGGCACTTCCCTTGCAACGACAGTCTATGCTGAACACAAGAGATTCCAGTATCCCATCACTGGATGCTTGGAATATTTGTCTCTCTGAAGATTTGCCTTGTCCCATCACTGGCTTCTTTGGGTGCTCCTGAAGATTTGTCTCTCTGAAGATTTGTCTCTCTGAAGATTTGCCTTGTCCCATCTCTGGATGCTTGGAAGATTTTCTCTCTCTGAAGATTTGCCTTGTCCCATCACTGGCTTCTTTGGGTGCTCCTGAAGATTTGTCTCTCTCTGAAGATTTATGCCACAGATGAATTATCTTGGCTGGAGCTTGCATTCTTGTGTGACCAGAGCAAGGCAGGGATTCTCAGTTCCTTGAGTATGTGGCAAAGCGTGGTCAAGGTGCACCCCAGCTGCCAGAAGGCTTTGCCCAGTGTGCCTCATCAATCCAAGACCTGGCCATCCAAGTTCTTGTATCAGTGTCTTTTGGATGCCACCGCTAACATTACTGCTACTGGCTGATTCTACGAGCTTCAATACTTGCAGTTGCTCCTCTAAGGCAGTAGCTGTCCTGGCATTGGCTTTGCACCCATTGGCTGTGGTGTGTTGCTGGGCTATCTGTGTGTTGGTGGGTTGGATGCATTGGTTGGGTCGGAGGCTATGGTATGATTGGAGGCTACGGGCTCTCACACCGACGGACTTGGGGTTATCGGACGTGGTTGTTGGCTCGTGTGAAGTTCTCTCTCTCTCTTCCATGTATTTGGCACGCAACGATCCCTCATGTTTGAGTGTTGTGTGGTGTTTCATTTCATTGGCGAAGAGGGCTGTCGCTCGAGCAATTGCTTTGCGACGTCTGTGCATGGCTTGTTTGTACAGTAAGATGTTGGACTTTTTTGTTGTGTACTGGTCTTGATCTGATTCGATTCAATCATGCGAAAGCCAGCGTGGTCTGTCGGAGCGTCTGAAGAGTGAGCACCTTGCTTGCACTCACACAGTCAAGATTTTTTTTCTCCTGCTGGAGCTTGGGACAAGTTTGCTTGGTTTGCTGGAGTTTGCTTCCTTTTGGGTCGAACAGATCGACAAAGCCTCGGGGACATATATATCGTTGGCATTGTTGTTGGGACTTTTTATTGGCAAATTTTTCTGTTGTCGTTGTTGACCCTCGTTGTTGCTGGCTCCATTGGCCCATGGCTCCTTCCATTGCTTGGTTTGCTTTTCATGCTCCTCTCATGACTAATGCCGTTCTTTTTTGGTTTGTTATCAATTGTTGCCCCAGAGAAAATAAATGTCAAGTCCGTGGGTTCATGCATCGATCCTTCATTGACAATGTACACTACTGGTACTGTACTGTACATGGCTATTAATAGTGAGTTTGGGAGCGGATCCCAACAACGGAGGTCACGAGGACAAAGCGGGACAACTGGGAGTTTCACGAAAGATCATCCATGATCAATCCCAAGACCGAATTCCTTGATCTGTCCTTATCACTAACTTGTGGCTGCTTGGGGGGGGGGCATTGTTGGATGCATCCTTGACCGTGTGGGTTGGCACCCTTTATGGATCGTTTTTATCATGGCGTGCCCTCTTGACTGGAAGTTTTCAAATCAAAAGCAACAATCAACCACTCTTCGGGTACCTATACTGCGCCCCTACTATTAATATAAACAACCATTTTTACGCATTTTCCTTTTGTGCCCTGTCCACGCTAGCTAGACTGATTCTTCTTGTTCTTGTGTCTATGGAAGATACAAGGTGTAAACGAACGAGACTGTGGTTCCACTGCAGGGCATGGTGCTCCGATTTATCGTCGTGCCTGTGGCGGCTCGGCTATTTGGAAGCATGCAATAAGGTTATTCTGTTGTGATTGTGAGGTTAATCTAATCATCATCTGTTGTGCCTTCTGATGACGGCAGTCTTCGGCATTTGGAGGAGGACGAAACTTAAAACTTGCTGTGGCCAAGCGCACTTAGTAGACTCGACAAAAGAGACACTGAAACGTGTGTAATGACTTAGGGGGCCGAACAAATAGTTGCTGGGAGTGAGAAAGAGCAAGAGCACAAAACCACGAAGAAGCCAACCCACACGCCGTCTTATTTGTGATGCTTCCATTCTTCCATGGCAGTCTCCTGATCGATTGAAGACTGTACGTTGCCGCACAAACCCGTCTTCTAGCTAGTCTAGCCACCTCAACAGTTCAGTTGATTCATCATAGCATTGATCTACTACCGTAGCTGGCTAGTGAAGAGGAAGCAAGATGACGGCTGCTGCCAGGAGAGAAGAATCCAGAGATGCGACAGCTCCTCTTGCCGGTACGCGTACATGTACTGGCTGTCGTAGAAGTACATGTATGGATCGAGCAGCCCCTCCTTCTCTGCAGACTGCAACAAGTGCTGTCAGTAGTGAGTCTACTACTACTACTACTACTACTACTACTACTAGTATGTATTCGATGGTGGTGGGGAAACGGAGTCCGTTGGATTCCTACGACGACTGGAGTGTGGGGTCATTGACGCAGCACTTGTCGGACGACGAAGACGATGAAGGACCCAATTTGGCACAGAATGCCTTACATCAGCAACAAGTGGAACAAGCGTTGCGAGATCAACAACGGAAACAACACATCTTGGTGCTTATCACGGCCATGTTTTGTGCCGTGAGTGTCATTTGGATCTTGTCGCAACGAACGCCGCATCGATACTATCGACCGCCACCCCCTCCGCTTACTGGTACTGCCGCCGTTAGACCCACACAACCTCCACGGTCCACACTCGAGCAACTTGCCTCCATGTTGCCCGCTGACACACAGAAGCAAATAATGCAAACAACTGATTCTCCACAAGGGCGAGCCTGGCAGTGGATCACGACATCATCATCATCATCGTTTGGACAAGTTCTGCCGTCTCCGGAACAATTACTACGGGAACCCTGGCGATTTTCACAACTCTTTGCGCTTACCACGTTGTTTTATGCGCTGGATGGTCCTTATTGGCCCTACAATCGTGCACAGCATCTACTCCGACATCCCAATACCACCCAAGCCGAATGGGACGCGCATCAAAAACCATATTGTGGAGTCTATTGTAATGACGATGACCATTTCCTCAACCATACAAACGTCTCCCTCCCCACGCCAGGGGCATGGAAGTACATTCAACAAATGTTGCGGGCCGCATCACCCTATCATGGAGGTCGGATACGCTCCCTCAATTTGGTCGGCATTGACTTGTCATCTACTGGTTCCAACAACAACAACAACAACAACAAAAAGCTACACATTCCTCCCGAACTGTCTCTCTTGAGATTCCTACAAGAAATCTCATTGGGCAATCACCAGGGAGGATTCCAGCACCATTCCCTGCAGGATATTCTGGTCCCATCCATTACCGCGACGAGACAACTCACGTCCCTCGTCCTGTTGCCCAACACATGTGGCCAAGCCAGTACAATACCCTCGCAGCTGGGCCGCTTGGTACAATTGCAAACCCTCCAATTAAATGGCAATCGCCTCGTGGGGACGTTGCCACGGGAATTGGAACAATTAGCCGCACTGCGCGTCTTGTCTCTTGCCCAAAACAATCTGCGAGGCACTCTGCACACTGAATTTGGATTGCTCTGGCCCCATTTGCGGGTCTGGAATACCAGTTACAATGACTTTATTGGGTCTCTTCCCGCAGCATATGTTGGCATGCCCTCGTTGCAATCCTTGGATGTGTCTCACAATTATCTCAGTGGGGCGTTGCCAACCGATGGAGGTGTCTTGTCCTACCGCAAGAGTACCCTAAGACAACTGTTTCTGCAACACAACAATTTGACCGGACGTATTCCCGCCGTATTACTCTCGAATCGACTGCAAGTATTGGATCTCAGTTACAATGCCTTGGCCGGAAGCATTCCCACTCAAGTGGGATTGCTTGTGGCAGCCACACAGGTCAACCTGAGTTTCAATCAACTCACTGGAAGAATTCCATCGGACATTGGACGGTTGGCCAAGACAAGTCGCATTCGACGACGGCAACACTGGAGGAATGACGATGAGTATGACGTGGGGGATGGAAATGACGAATATTTTGATCCTTATGATGACAATGGCAAGGAGAAGACGAGCACTGTTGTCATCACCAACCTGGTCCAACTGGATATCTCTTACAATTCACTACAGGGAACCATTCCCTTGGTGGAACTGACCCAACTCATTCAGGGAGGACTGCGACTCTTGAACCTCACAGGAAATCCTGGTTTGACAATGAGCAATGATGATGACAGTATGACACTGCAGCTGTGTGGTTTAAATCGTCCCAATTGTACCTTTGTTGTGGCGCCACTGCAGCATAGGCGGCAGCAGTGCTATTTTGGAATGGATTGTGCTTGTGGTACTGCTGCATGTTGGGTGGAAGGTAGGAACGATCCAATGCACAACAATGATACTTCTATGGCTCGACAACCAGAAGGAAACGACATCTTTGAAAACTTGTTTCAGGCTCCGTGATCGACCACCACTACAAGAGGATAGAACTAGTTGAGCTCCCATTGAGCATGTGAAAGTGGCAAGAAAGAAGTGATCTTGGCTGCTTTCTGCATTGTCTTGAGTGCCTTGATCTTCATACCAGAGAGCTCCTCAGTGGACAATGCTGCCCAATTGTTGCATTAGTAGTAACATTTGTCACTTGAATGAGCTAGTCTCGATATCTATCCGTGGTGGGAGAGATAGATCTCGCCTTGATGGAGATAGACATGTGTGCGTTGCTGTTATAATAGAGTAGACATGCACTGCACTGCGCTACCCACTGTCATTAATAGTATAGGTAGGAGACATTTGAGAGATGACAGCAGCCCTGCCCAAAGTGGCTGAAATTGCGCACTTTTAGAGAATGCCCAAGAAATGAGACATGTTGCCACTGTACCAGTACTAGTTCGCCACAATGGCCTGCTCTAGCTATAGCTGTTGCCAATGCTAGTTTCCAACGCGCAAGCTCTTTCCAGTGGCCAGCTCTAGCTCTTTCCACGCACTTCCATACCTTACACAAGATTCAATCACAACACAGTACAACACCACCACAGAATCGAGTCCAATCTGTGAGCTAGCTGTGCACAGTGCACAAAAGGAAAATACATATTGCAAAACCCATGGTTGCTATAGCTGACTTGAACATACCACTACACACATGTACAGTACCGGTACACTATCAGTGGTTGATTGTTGCATTTGTGCCAAGACCTCCTGTTAATAGAAGTGTCATGTGAAAAATAATCCATAAAAAGGTGCCAGGAGAAGGGAGCAGACGCCAGCTGCTGCCAAGACAAGACGGAAGCCCAAAAGCCAAAACATGGGACCAAAACAATGACACCACCAAGAGATGCTGCAACCAGGTACCATGCAGTAGTGTACCTTCTCAATTGATGGACATGACTTCTCTGGGGTACTGGTATGCATCATGGATAAATAAAACAAACAACAGGAGTTAGTAATGAAAGGAGCATGAAAAGCAAACCTAAGCAAACCGGGACAACAGTTTGGTGGACAGGTATCCATCATGGGTAAATAAAACAAACAGCAGGAGTTAGTAATGAAAGGAGCATGAAAAGCAAACCTAAGCAAACCTGGACAACAGTTAGTTTGGTGGACAACAAGCAAACGATAGAGATGAGCCAACATACAACAATGGGCTGGCCAACAAGCAACGATTCCAGCAACGAGCCAACAAGAAACAACAAGCCAGCATGCAACAATGAGCCAGCAAGCAACGACCATGGAGACTGAATGATTCCAACAATGAGCCAACAACGGGGAACAACGACAAAAGGGAGCCAAGGACCAGCAACCAAGGAGGAGCCAGCAAATGATAGTGGATTCAAACCAAAGCAAACTGGGACAACAGTTTGTGGACAACAAGCAAACGATAGAAAAACAAGCAAGCGATAGAGACGATAGCGATAGAGACGATAGAGACGCCAACATACAACATTGGGCTGGCCAACAAGCAACGATTCCAGCAACGAGCCATAACAAGAAACAACAAGAAACAACGAGCCAGCAAGCAACGATACCAACAATAAAGACCAATGATTCCAACAATGAGCCAACAACAGCGAACAACCACAAAAGGGAGCCAAGGACCAGCAACCAAGGAGGAGCCAGCAAATGATAGTGGATTGGATTCAGCTCGTTGTGATCCGAAAAAGAAAAGCCATTTGCCAGAAAGAAGAAGTAGAAGGCATGCCCAGCAAATGATAGTGGATTGGATCCAGCCCATTTTGATCCTCCCTCGGGAGTACTATGGCGAAGGTCCCGCACCACTGAAAAAGAAAAGCCATTTGCCAGGAAGAAGATAGGAAGGAACGGGTCTCGTCACTCATCGTCATCATCATCAAGGAGGCAGAGGCAGCGAAACCACGCAAGGAGGCAAGGAAACGAAACCATACAAAGAGGCGTGCAAGGAGGTAACGACACGAACCGAATGAAACGAAACAAGCAATTGGATCTCTGACAAACAAAACGAAACTTCTCCAATCACACGAGAAAAACCAGGAGAACGCAAAACAGAGGCAAACCTTTGGCCAACACCAACAGGACAGCTGAGTGCTTCAGGGTCGCCACCTTGGGAATCAATGAGGCAAATGCTTATAACCTGCTTGCCTAGCCGCTAGGTAGTATGGCAGAGGATGGCAACGAAAGGCTCCAAGCGCAAGATAATACCATGGTACATCTTCAAGTTTGCAACAAGATCATCTTCAAGTTTGCAACCGATCGTGACGTCAGAACTCCACAATGTACATGTACATGCTCTAGCTAGCTACTACTAGCTAGTAGCTATGATAGCTACCGGTACCTGGTAGAGTACCACACCTACTCGAGAACTCTACGATGTACATGCTCTAGCTAGCTACCTACCTGGCAACTCTAGCTAGTATGTACTCGATTGGCTTCCATTGAATGACGTTTTTAGCCAACCCTCACCTGATTGATTGGTGGCTGTTGCGGTACCACAGTAGCCAGCTAGTACCAGTCTGGTAGTAGTCTACCCGCGCATCAGGGATGGATGCGCTCTCCTGTACCATAGTTTTCTGGCTCTGTGCTGCCATCGGATGATAACGACAGCCTACTAGCTAGCTGTAGGAAGCTCTTCCCAAAGCTTCCATCTATTACCTTTGAAAGCCATAACATATCATATCAGTTGATTTGTGAGAAAGAAAATGTTAACTAGGAGTAAAGCCAAGGAAGGACCTCCCAATGAAGAGGCTGCTGCTGCTCCCAAAAGTAGAAAGAAGCAAAAGGTTTCAAGGGATGACCGTGCTGTTGCTGTTGCTCTTGCCAATTTGAGAAAGGCACCCTTGCCAAATAAAGATCAGTTTGCTTATGAGCTTAATTTCTCACAGGAATACAAGAGTAACAGTATTGGAGGACACATCTCCCGCACGGTGAAGGGATTTGCACAGGCAGTGGCTAGTTCCAAAAAGAAAGGACCTAAGTTTAAGCGTGCCAAAGCAAAACGGAAGAAGACTTGTGCCATTCCAAGGGTATGTACTTTTTATTTCTACTAGCTAGCTACCATACTTGATATGGCTGAAATTACTTGACACAGATAACCATTTTGTTGTTGCAGCCTTCTTTCACCAAGCAAGCATGTGACCATTTTCTGAAGATGGCTGCAGAGGGGCACCCTATATTCTATAGTGGCACGGAGGAGAGAGATTGTCCAAGACTTCCCAAGAACAGAAAGACCATTGTTTGCTCTGCTCCAAAAGATCTGAAAGTCTTGGAGGTTGACCCTGAGAAGGGCCTACACATGCCAGGTGTTTTTACTGTAGTTCCCCAGGCTGCTGTCCAGGAGGTGTTTTGGAGCAAGGAACATTTCTCTCAGTTCTACTCAGCTCTGGACCAGCTCAAGGACCAGAGCAAGAATCCATCAACACCCAGAGGAAAAACTCGAATACCCATACTGGAAGATTCTGAGGGAACGAAATACATTACTGTTGGTACAGCACCATGCAGGAACAAGAAAGGCTGCAACAATCAGATGCGGGGTCTGGATCTTCCAGAGAATGAAGCTGCATATGAGTCAATCTCCAGACTCATCAGAATGACGGAAGCTGTGGCCAAAGGCTGGATTGATTATGAGGCTCTGGTGGCCCTGGGTGTCATGAAAGACCTGGCTGATGTGGAAGGCATGCCACTTCATGATGGGAAAAAGTCCAAACTTTGTGCTGCTTTTGCAATGGGCAAAAACTGTTACCTCAATGCGCACACTGATGTTGATGCATTCCTCTCAATCAACATGGCCATCCCCAAGGACCTCAGTGATGATGTTTGGAAGGATGGTGCAATTTTGAACTACTGGTGCTTTCCAGCTCTAGGGTTTTGTATCCCATTGCGTTGTCGGGATATTCTTATCTTCAACCCCCTTGAGAGCCATTGTATTTCTTCCCGCTGCAATGACCAGCGGGATGAATACAATGTGACCATGTATTTGAAAACTGCTGTTGTGGGTGGCAATGACAACTCTCCTGGAAGGTTAACAACCTTGGCTGAGAAAATCCAAGGGAATAAAGATATTCAAGAGGCAAAAGAATTTGAGGAAAAAGCCTTAGAAAAATAAAATACTCTTTTTAGATATTAGTTTTCTCCTCCTGTGTATTTGCCTTGCTTTTGCCTTTGATAGGACATTGTGGAGCCATTTGTTGCTGTGGTTGCTGTCTGTCATCATTGCATTCTGTGTAGTGGTTGTATACGGGTTGGGAAGCAGTGTTGAGGCCATAAAAATGCTTGGCTGTAGCAGTAGCAGCGTGGATACGGTTCCTCCCTTCGTCCACAACTTGTGTTTAGTCGCGATGCAATCCACAACGTCCGCGCATTGAAGATTTTCCGTCAATCTTGCTCTTGATGGACAACCAGGTCTTCATACTAGTAGTGGATGGTGGTTCCCTGACTTGACTCGTCTTCTTCGTAACAGCTAGCTAGTTGTACAGTACCGATACCGTACTGGAAGAGGGCCAAATAAATAGCCACAACAACATCCTCGCCACTCGCCAGATGATCCTTTAACATGTGGATTCTCCATACCGCACCGTAGAAACTAACTGGAGTCTGGGTCAGGTCGCAAATCCTGAAGAGGCAGGGACGTTGCGCTGTTTATTTATTTTGGCACTTGGATTTCTCTGCTCGTCAACTTTATAGAGGCTCCGCACTGCCAGGACAGGGCGTCTCTACAGGTCTGGGTGAACTTGGTTCCTCTGCTGCACAGCGTTGTGTGCCAAGTGGCGCCCACATTGTAGACGTGCGTTTCCATCGAACAGATCTGTGCGGGAAGATGACTGTCCACCATAGCCTCCTGCCAATGTGAATTGCCGCTCTTACGGAAGTGTGCCTGCTGCAGGTCAGGTCTTCATACTAGTAGTGGATTTCTTGTGGTACAGTACCCTGACTTGACTCGTCGTGTCTTCTTCGTAACATCGATACTGGATCTGCTTCAAGGATCTGCTTCATTTCGTCAAAGGCATTGGACACGATTTCATTTTAGTCGAGCTGGAGCAGAGCTCATTCCCAGCTCTCTCTGATGGAGACCACAACAACCTTCACCAACAAATGCAGGAGAAACACAGTACGTGTATGCTCAGCAATAGTAGCAGCAGCTCCTCAATCTGTTCGATCAGATCATCATGGTCAAAGGAACGCGGCTTGCCAGATCGAAGTCTGCATGGCTGTAATGCAGGAAAGCTGCGAAAAGGCCAAAAAACATATAAAGAAGCACCAGCCATGGCACAATAATGGGATGACCGTTGTGGGAGGACTGCCTGGAAAGAAAGATCCAATCGCTGCATTGAGGACACAACAACAATGGAGGCCGTCCTTTCTCCTTTCCTCCTTGAGTCAAGTCGAGTCGGTTGCTCTCCTGCTGTGGCACCTTGCGCAGGTCCTCTGACGTCGTCACTCCACCCCCCCCATACGATGTAGTCGTCCTCTCTTATCAGCAGCATACTACCGGTATAGTAATGGAAGCTGTGGGCTCCCGAGGCAAATCATTGCATCTGGGCCTCGCCTTACCACCACCACCGAATCCATTCCATTGAATGTGAACTTGACCAACAAAAGAAGGACCCCAGTCCAGTACTGTACGGTACTGTATGCCTGGATCTGTTCGCCATGAACCTCTTTCGGCTTGCAGGGCACAAGGTCGGTTCGGACCAAAAGAAAGAAAGCATGTGATCAACGACGATGGAGATCCTTGCTTGGCTAGATGGTATTTTAGGAACACTGTCTGTCAACTACAGTCTTTTTATTCAATGTTACAGTAGTGTCTCGGACATCCTCTCCTACGGTACAAATTTAATCCAAGCAGATGAATCGGTTGTAACAATTCAATCCCTCGCAGCAGGGTCCCTGATGACAGAAGCATAGAATCTTATATGTGAGTGGCATGCTGTCATGATGATGTGATGGCTGTGGTACACAAACAATTTACTTGGACTTACGAGGTTGCAGTACCCAAGGCGATCACTGCATGGGAGACAAGAAAAGAAAAGAAAAGCAATCTGTGAGTGGCATGCTGCCAATTGCATGAGGTCATTTTGGGATGGGTACAACATGCAGTTCCCTGGCTTACCTGCATGTTCCATCCAAACTGGTCCATCCAGGATCATTGGTAAATCCAGTGTCTTCATTATTATTATTGTCTTGGTTGACCATTGGTGGCGCCTGCTGGATTCCTACCCCATCTTCCTCGGTGCTGCTAATGCAGGTTTCACTATTCATGTGAAAGTCCATGTACGCAATAGCCGTGTCACTGAACTCGTCGCAGCCTGGGTCGGAACACATGCTGGCATCCATGAGAGACCCACAACATTCATGGCCTGCGCCAGCGGAATGGCCCATTTCATGTGCAAATAGCATGGACCAGAATGTTGGATTGTTATTGCCACCAAATGTCAACTCATTGACACCATATCCAAAATGATCATTGCAAAGGCTGGCCGCCCAGGCACATCCTACTGTCCCACTGGCATGAGGAAACCCATGGAACAGGTGTGCAATGTCACGTGGGATATGGGCACGGTTGGTCTTCCAGTAGTCTCGGAACAGCCCCAAGATGGACTGGGTGTCACCATTGCGACAAACACTGCTGACAAACATGCGCGAGTAAGGATCATTCCTTTCATCACAGTAACCTTCCAAATGAGAGAGCCGGAGCTTGGTGCATAGCTTTTCAAATTTGAGACTGGCTTGAGCTACTGTCACCTGCACCACTTGGTTGGCCCGATCCTCGCCGCCCATGACTTCACAGAAACGAGATTCATAGGCAATGGCCACTTCGATTATCTTGAACGAGTCGCATTCCTCTTTCAAGGCACGAGGAGGTGGCTCCAGCAATGCTCGTTCATTGGTGTGCTCGAGGGTATCGCCGTAACCAAACCGTGAGAGCTTGGTGGTGTCAATGTCATTGGAATCCTGTAAAGTACAAGCAACAATGAAGGCGAAAGATATGATTTTTAGATGCAAAGAACAAGCAACCTGTACCTCAGTTACAGGGTTCGGTTCAAGTTGAGATCTTAAAAAGAGTTGAGAACGTACCACCTGGGCAAAGACTTGAATATCCAATCCTTCTGAAATAGGCAAGAGAGAAGACACACCACCTGTAGAGGGATTTGTACGCAAGGCTCGTTGGAATTGCCCAGTACCTGCAGACAGCACCACCATAACAGATGGGTCGTCTTTGGGTGCGTACAAGACATTGGAAGGCAGGGATGGCTGCTGAATACCATCCAACACATACCTCGCATTGCCAGCAAAAACACTGGGCAATGCCACCAAATCGTTGGCTTCCACGGAAAATGTGATCCCATCCAACGTCATTGTCCTGGTTGCCTGTAGGGAGTTCTTCCTCCCTCCTCCTGCCAAGGACTCCAACACTTGCATTGGGTTCGCAAAGTCATCTCGTAGCAAGTTCCTGTTTTTGAACTCGGCGAGAACATCCACAGCTCCATCATTGTCCGTGTCCAGAAGACGGTGGCTCCGAACTCCCGTAGCGTCGACACCATTTTGTGGAAAGAAAACCAATGCGGCAGCAACTCCAAAGAGGCCTGTCATTGGCGCCATCGAACTGAAGATCATGTTGTTTGGACTGTGAGTGAGTGCTCTGGTTGCAGCACTACTTAGCTAGCTAGAAGTTGCGGTTGTGGTTTCGTTCCTCGCTCCGTGGGCTACTGTCGTCCAGAGACTTTGTGGCCCCAAAAGCAATACATTGCAGTAGTAGTTGAGCCCGGTTCTTGGCACAAGTCGGCTTGCTAATCCTTTTAGCTACCTTCATTATTGGCAATTCATGATTTCAAGCGGCATTGGTCGTACCATCATGGTACACGATACTCCGACGCTGTCTGCATGATGTATGGAAATGGCATAATCGCACTTCCGCTACATCTCTACGACCCTCACTCCAATCCTTGCCTTGTTTGCGGTAGATAGGTTCATCCATGTCAGCCAGCACGAACAAAGCTAGCCGGAGCCCAGCAGTTAGGTTGAAAACACGAATGATGCCGCCACAAGGTTGGCGTGAAGGAAGCACATACAGCTCCACACTTTTCAAAATTCCATGAGGTGCGAGACTCCGGTACTTCATTTTTAGCTCTGCTGGTAGGTACCGGTGCGGTACTGGTACCGGTACGTCCTGCCTGCTAGCTGTGCACTAGTAGCTAGCTGGAGTGTTTGTGTGTGACTCACTCCAACCCCACCCCAGCAGCTAGGGTAACTTGTCTGACACCGTTCCTCAGCAACCACGCACGTCGTACTAATCATACAGCCATGGCTAACTTGCTATCTAGCTAGAGAGGGGGAGGAGGAACCATTTCCATTTCCTGTGATCCGGTGAGCCAATACATGTACCAGGTAGTTAGTCTGAGTCGAGTGTCAGCCGTGGCTTTAGTTTCTTGGCCAACTTCATAATGCAAAGTGCGTGCATAGGCATCATTGATTCGAGTTCTTCAGAGGTTTCACCAGAAGCAAGCAGCACCACACAGCACACATCTGTTGCAACCCTGAAGTAGCGGACCCAACAAACATCGTCTTGCATCTGACGATGCTGAGGGGCAGTTCATGTACACCACGTGCCGTTATAAATCCGACCAGCCAAAGCCAAGGCAAGAGCAAACCCTCCAATAGCTAGCAAGGTATTAGTCTAGCTAGCTATTAGTAGAGCCACCAGCCACCAGTAGACACCCGATCACCAACGCACTGCCGTGGTGAAACTCATTCTTGTGCGTGTGTGCGTGCTGCTTGTAGATCGGGATTAGAGAGGACGCTGACGCAAATCATCAGTTTCACATTCGACTGAAGACTGAACCATGACGTTGACGCAGGATTTCACCGGTAAGCACATCGTCCCAATCCCCATATTCAATACTTCATTGAACCAGTGTTACATTATTGCTCCCTTGTGTCATTAATTTTTTTGTCATCTTAGACACTCAGAACCGGGCTTTCCTTTTAAAGCAGAACGTGTACCAGGTATGTAGCTGCGAATGAAAAAACCAGACTCATAGCAGGCATTGGCAATAAAATGTGTGTAGGACAGACAAAAAGGGTCGTGCCAAACATTTTGTCCTAGAGATGAAGTCTTGAAGGAACCTCACAATAAGTAGAATAGACACCTAGAGATTGCCGGGACTTCGAAACATCTTATGCCTCTTCAATGCCATTGGCTATTGTCTCCACGCTTCTTGGCTTCTTACATCATCTGGGTGAGCTCTGGGCGTAAGCCACCGAGCACTTGTTACTAAGCTTTAAAAACTACGTTTCAAGCACCAAAAATAAATAAAGTGAAAGTCACTCAACTGGAAGTTTGCTTTCCGATTTCCAAGACTCTTATCGCTTGACGCATCGATTTTTTGTTCACCTCTCCAACTCAGTCGATGGGTGATTCTGCTTACTCCTATGGTAACATAGTACTCGAGCAACTGTTATTGATCGGAGATGTCGCCCATCCTGCTTGGTGTCCACTGTTGTGAAAAGAGTACATGCTTGTCAGTAGCGAACCATGAAACCTGTACAGACCCGTCTATACTGAAGCCACACCTGGTAGGAATTCAGGAGGTCCTCCTGGTGTTCTTTTCGTCGGTCGTGAACTTCTGTGACCAGCTTGTGACCAGAAGTTTTCTTGCTATTGTACTGGTGACCAGAAGTTCTCTGTCTAAGGGTGCTGTGGGACATTTTGAGAGAAACGCGTCGAATGTCCGTTCAAGAACTTCAAGCCCCAAATTACGGATTCTGCGAACCGCATGCGTCAGAGTTGGCCTCCGAATTGGGGCCATTACTGGCTATTATTTGAGAGGTGTGCTTTGCTACCATAATGCCACTACGGAACATGCCACTTTGTCTTCTTACAGTACAGGTTCAGTAGTCAGTAGGAGGTTTCAGCCAAACTGGGGAACGGCTGTAAGCTTCGTGAGCTCTTCTTGAACGCTTCAACTGGTGTTAAACCCGAAGCTCGTGCTTAGAGGCCGGTTGAGCTAACATCCCTGTATGTTCTTCTGAAGACCAATTTTTTTCCTGTGAAGTGTCCAATAAGAGTCGACGTGGCCTACAGTCCATTGACAGTTCTTTGATCGCTCTAGTAGCTACAGTACCGTACCGTACCGTACCATACAGAGGCACCCAGAATCACTGGGAACTCGTGCAGCCTGAAACCCAAGAAATCTAGCTCTAGCCCGCGAGCTCCAGTAGCTAGCTAGCTAGTAGCCTATCCTAAGTACCAGTAGCTAGCTAGCTAGCTCCAGTCTCTATCCTCAACCTACAGGATGCAAAGGTTGACTTGCACATAATCTATCTTGGCACACAACAAGCAAAAGCGAAAGATAAAAAAAGAGGCATTAGCAATCACTTTTCCAACAATCTAAACTTACAAACTAACTTTCAATTTATCCACCATGACGCCCACTGCCGCCAACAATGCGTCCTTTCCTGTGATGGTCCACAAGATGCTGACTGACATTGATGACTTGACCAAGAACGACCCCAATGAAAAGATCAGCCATATCATCTCTTGGCAACCTCATGGCCGCGCCTTCAAGATCCATGACAGGGAAAAGTTCGCCACTGTGGCCATGCCCATTTGGTTCATGAGGCTCAAGTATTCCAGCTGGGTCCGCCAGTTGAACCAGTATGGATTCAAAAAGATCCAAGACGGTCCTGATCGTGGTGGTGAGTCTTCGTTGCGCTGCCTTTCTTTGCCTTGCACTGAACTGAACTGTAAACCAACGGCTCGTTTCTAACTTAATCTATCTGTCTTGCTTCCCTGTTTTCTCCTTCAGCTCTCTACCATGACGACTTTCTGCGAGGTGATCTCGAGCTCGCTCAGAGCATTGGCAAAGCTAAGCGCAAGTCCAAGAGTGACTCGTCCAATAGCTTGACGGGCCTTGCTGCCACTACTTCTGCGGCTGCGAGCAAAGCCAACCCAGTGTCACCCACCCATGTCAAGCCAGTGTCAAGAACGGTCTCTGCACCCGCCATCGCCCCAAGCAGCATGATGATCCCATCCTTGTCGAGAACGCAAAGCTACCTGGAGGGAAGGATGGCGGCAGGCCATGCTCAGCCCACTATGACCTGCTCCATGCCCTCCTCCGTACCGGATCATGCTGCCATGTACCCTGGCATGCAGCAGCATCCCGGTCGTTTCCATCATTCCGTTCCTACCATGATCCCACAACAACAAATGGGAGCAGGTGAACAGTCTGCTTGTACGAGCAGTGCTTTGGTCAACATGGTCATGCCGGCATTCAAAATGGACCCCACTCGCTTTTCCCAGAACTTGGACGTGGACTTTCCAGCCCAAGTCCAGGAGTTTTCTTCCATGTGGGATCTTGAGCCACTGAACTTTGACAGCTCGACACCACTCGACGAACAAGCCAATCTCTTTGACAATTTGTTTGCCTAACTAACCAAGGCAACATACATTCGTCGGCCCCTTTGCTGATTGTTTCTACCGTGCTTACCATTCCGCACAAATCCTTCGCTCCAGCCATGCACATCCACTTCCTGGATTCATCAATGCCTCGTTCTTCCTTCCTGAGGATGACATACCATGTATACACCGCCCTAACGTCTCTTCTTTCTCCTCTATGGACATAATCCTGCTCCTACATCTAATACTAAGAATAAAGTTGCCTACTGAAAAGGATTCTCGAGCTAGCTACTAGACTAGATTGAATAGGCCGCTTTCATATATTGGAGCAGATGATGCTAGCTCCTAGCTGCAGCGTCGAGGTGCGTGAGGGAAGCAGCCAAAAAACCAAGGCATGCAGTGCGCCCGTTCGCAACGGTAGCTAGTACCGGTACGGTAAGGGTAGGTAAATTGGTGCGGCAGCTACCGGTACATACATGTACTAGCTACTAGTATGGCAAGAGGTGCTCATGGCAGAGATCGATTCGATTCACATGCTAAAGGAGAACTATTCTCCCTGAAGAGGATCAAGACAAGCAACTGGCCTCCAGCAGTGTTTTTGCTGGCTGCTGGTACTGGTTCTTCGCTGGGGCCGCATGCGCAGCTAGCTAGGAAATAGCTAGCTAGTTAGAAGTAGTATCGAGTGGTTTGCAATCTAACAAACGATGATGCGTCCACCGTCATGAAACTCTCCTGTGAGGTGGCATCGTCAGTGCTCTTTTATTGCTGAATTCTGCTTCAAGCGGCAACTCTAAAAATTGAGGACAAAGATCGTGCTGAGGTGGCCAAGCAGCACCATCTGCGGCAAGCATTCTTCGACTAGAGCCCAGTACGTACAGGCAACCAAGGAAAGGAATAAGACTGCAAAGAAGCTACAAAGATACTGCAGAATCCAAGAGCTCTTCAACGCTTCGTGCTTGTGTGGAAGGGGCTGAGCGCCATTGTACCATCGGCCTTCTTGAGAAGGGAATCGGAGTTCTCGATCACTACACAGGGTTTAGGGGTGTTAGCGAGTAGAGGTTACAGACAATAGTACTGGAAAACGTATACAAGACCCCTTTACTATGCAGAGTCGTACTGTAGCTCACTTACTTAGAAAGATTCAAAAATTGAGCCTAACTCTCGTGAGTCTTTCTGTCACCGTTGGAGTCTTGTGGAACAATAGAAGACTTATTCCCAGAGGTGCACCGTACCTCTGCAATCGAACGACCTCACATTTTCGAATCTCCGTACGAAAGATCGCGAACGTCGTCAAGTCATTGGATTCCTACTACACAGTCAACTACAGCAAAGCTAGTACCTCACCATGTTGCATAGTGCTAGTGTTGCTTTTAAGGAATGGCTAGATGTTAACAGTCGCTACCCATTCAATGAGATTCGGAAGACCAGGCAGAGCTATGAACTCAAATATGTTTTGTTGGTAGATGAAACTGACAGGGCAAACAGGTACAGTCAGTACTTTGTGCTAAAGGTAAAGTACCTTCCCAGTGTCATGGTTGAGAAACTCATAATGGAAGAAAAAGCTGTGCCCATGACACCTGACATGACCTGGATTCTGGAGACCATGACTGGATGGGGAGCGAGGCAGAGCTCTGAGTGGTACAGTGATGTCCTTGCTCTGCTTGCTTTGGTAGTGGAGGAAGGAGATCCTATGACAAAGAAAGAGTTGTGCAGGATGATAGTTAGACCACTTATGAGGGATGCTCTCTATAATCAGTTTGGTGTGTGGGAGTGGGAAGCCAAAGAGTTCTTACTTACAGAGTGGAGTCACTGGTTTGACACTCAGTGCTGGAGCAAGCACAAACACAACTTCAGTGGGATGGTGATCAGTAGCCAGCAGTACATTATCCACAGGGCTTCTCTCACTGCCCACAATGGAGTCTTTGCTTACTCAATGCCCTGAAAATGTCTCATGTCTGGAAAGAAAAGGAAGCAACACATGTAAGATTGTTGTTGTTTGTTATCCAATAAGTGTCATAAGTAACAATAGTCAAACTTACAGTAGCTTGGTACCAATCTGCCACAGTAGAGACTTGTCTAGTGTGGATTTCTTTACTGCAAATTGGACCAAAGCCATCATTAGGGCCATGGAACTGTTTCCTCTCCATGCATCTTCCACAGTAGTCTCTCTTGCAGCTCTGTGCCACTCCCTCCACAGCAGTGACATGGTCGCTCTTCTTGTGGCCACACTTGTTGCAATACTTCCTGCTCCTGAAAATCATTCTTCTTCTTGGTCTTGGTGGTGCTGTGGCTGGAACAGCTGTTAGAGCAACCCGGTAAGCAGCAGTGGCAACAGCAGGTGTGAGAGTTCCATTAGCTGCAGCAAGCGCTAAAGCCCCAACTGCAACTTCAGGATTCAAAGTAGTTGGGTTGCCAAAGGGAGTAACTCCATTGTTGGTGTAAGTAGCTGGAGTGGTGTTGTGGATAACCGGTTCTGCTGATGCTGGAAGGGAACGTCTATTCTGCCGTAGCTGCTGATCTAACTGTTGTCGGGCTTCGTTGTCGGCTGGTGCCGCTTGAAGTGAACTCAACTCTTGCACCTTGTCATAGTGCTGCTGTAAAAGGGAGCGGCTCTTGTATCGCAGTTGAACCACACCGGATTGGTCACCTTCCGTACTCCACAGCTTGAATCGCCGTGAGACTTCGGCATTCCAGTCTCGTTCAAATGATTTGTAACTCCTTGGTCCTGTTTGAGAACCCCTGTTGTATCGGCTTTTCCACTCATCAAACAACTGGGCTTCAGCATGGTCAATGTCAGTTGCAGGAGTTGTGCTATCAGGAGAGCGAAGAGGTATCCATTCACAATGATTGGTGAGGCGGCGAAATGCCTGCAGTGTTGACTCATTGTTGTTGTTGGCTGGGAGTAGCTTCGCCAACTCTTGCTCGATCAGGGCTTTGTTCGCTCTGTCATTGGCAGCAGCTCGCTCATTCGCTTCATTCAATTGAACTGCTTCCCGGGTTCGGCGAGTGTCGGCCTGCTGGGCCTCATTGTATTCCTCCTCGCTTGCAAATACTTCGATATCTAAATCATCGCCCAATTGGCCACCAAGAACTCGCTGGATTTCTTCTTGTGATTCGGGAACGGCCTCATCTTCATCATTGGCCACATCTTGTTCCTCGCCATTATCATCTGAGCCGTAGGCGTCTACAGCACCATCTGTAGGATTGGACACTTCGGTCGTTTCTGGAACTGACTGGTAAGAGAATCCCATGAATTCGGATGCAAGACCATCTGCCTTCTTTGGTGCTGGTAGGGAGTATGGTGGCTCTTTGAATCCTACCTTTTCGGCATAGGCATTAAGAAGCAGCAGCTTCTCTGTATTTAATATCTTGAAATCAGTGGCACCAAGCCTGATAACAGACTTTCTGTCATTGCGCTCCTCAAAGAAGCAAGACATGAGTCTCTCAGCGCGATGTATACCTAGTAGCGATTGAATAGTTAGACAATGGTAAATCACTTCAAGCTGATTGCACCACTGGATCATTACTTACCGATGTAGGTTGCTAGTAGCAGCAATGCAAGATCCAAATTGTCTCGTTCATTGGTGTTTGTACCACGAGCAACGTACGTAATGTCACTGTTTGGGTTGCGTCGGAAGATATCGACAAGGCTGCTTGGAGGGTCGCTTAAACATCCAGAGTCAACATGCACCATCTGCTTTCGAACAATCTCAGTGAGTTTCCAGTTCTTGAAAAAGAGCTTAGGCCGTGGTGAGTTGTCATCAGCTCGGCGCTGAGACAAAACGCGATAGGTCTCTGTATCTTTGTTCTGGACGTAGTTCAGCACTGCTTCAATGTTACTCCTTAGAGTCACCTTGTCAGGAATTATGGAATTCGCTTCCTTCAATACCTCCTTAGTGGTTGGTTCTCTCTTCAGCTTGTCTTGTAGCTTCTCCTTGGATCTCTCGAATTCCTGAGGAGTAATGACAAATAGAGCTCTGGACATGAGTCCTCGGAATATTCCAGCTTGAAGGGAAGAGCAATCAACCATCAGTTTGTTCCATCTCTTCAACCAATGAAAGGGATCAAGCAAAATGAGTACAGAGTCGCCAAACAGCTTTCTCAGTATCTTCCTCACATTGCAACAGTTGTCAACATAAATGACCTTGATCGAGTTTTCCACTGGACACATGCTTGGCCGTTTCCTATCTTCATGCCAATTGGCATTCAATCGATTCCGGAGACGCACCAAGTCTTCTTCAATCTCGCTGAATGATTCAGAGTGCTTCAATGCTTTCCAGAAAACTGTCAACCCATCTTCATTCTGAATGGTGACAATGCATTTGTATGGCTGGAAGCTGCATCCCTGCTTGGTCCACACTCTGATCTTCTGCGCCAACTTGTAATTGAAGTCAATCTTCAGAAGCGTCGCTGTCAACCCAATCATCTTGCTTTCTTGGAAGGCTTTTCTGTGCTGGAAGTAATTCATGACCAAACTGTCAATACGATACTTGGACAGGATTCTCCCATTATATCCCGGCTTTGAACCAAACTCGGAGAATGGAATAGGGCCATTATCTGCAGTCTCCTCCTCCTTGGATTCTTCTGCCTCCTCTTGATTAGAAATCCCATGTTGGCGGCGGTAATCTGACAAGGCATCAACACTGCGATTGTAAGAAGCTATGGCAGCTGTCACTTCTTCTTTGCGCACTGTGACTGTTTGCTTCAAGCCGTCATAATGCTTCTCAACAATCAGCTTCCAGTTGCGCAGTGGCTTGATGGTTCTCTTGTAATCTCGTGGATCTGCGGCAAGCAGTTCGAAGCAGGTCTCTATCCCATTTTCCCTCAGTTTTCGAATTTTGGTTGATCCAAGGCCTTTCAAAAAATTCTTGGACCCATGATGGTTGTGGTTGTCTTTCGAGGATAGCATGGATTTAAACGTCCAGTCACTGGTAGCACGGCCCTGGGCAGATTCCACCCGCGATCTTGCGCTTCGAATGTCTGCCGTTGCCCTGTTTATCTTGTTAATCAGACGTTGCTCTTCACGGTTGGTGGTTTCAGCTGCTGGCAGCATTTCCAGAATAGTTCTCTGGCGCTTCCTTGGCCGTATTTTATCTAGGCCGATTGCTGTAAGATAAAGCTGGTGATCTTCATAGTACGTGACATGCGCAATTCGTTCTAGCTTCTTCGCGATGGCAGCTGTTGCTTCCTTGAATGAACTCTCGATTATTAGGCCATGCAACTCTTCGTCAACTGCAAATCCATGACCCAAATAGAATGTGAAGAAGCCGTAGTACAGTGATGAGTCAAGTTGCATTGACTCCTTGTTATATCCAGCAAAACGTCTACCACATCTTGTGCAGAGATAAAGCACGGTGTCCAGATATCGAATTCTTGATACTCCATAAAGAACCTTTGGGCAGTTCACCCATCGGCATTTCTGTAGATCAACTGCATCTCTCTTCTTGCAGTGTGCGCAACATGGGACATGGTTTGGTACAAGTATATGAGGTACCCAAACAGCAAGGGGTTTGACATAGAACTGTTCTACGGTGCTCTTGCTTCCACGCTGATCAAGAATCATGCTGTCGAACCGACCTCCTTTCGTCGGGACAATGCGGCGCCAATCCCTTGGCGGCTTGAAGAATCCCTTCCAGTCATTGTCAATTGCATCTCTTGTCTTCAAAACAAAGCGCCATTGCGCCTCTGAGATTTGCTTTGGCTTATTACGGCGGCTCGCCATGGTGTCACTTCCACGATAAAATGATCAATTGATGTCATTGGAGCGAAAAACGTTCAGACGTTTGGTAAGGTTAGGGGATGAAATTTCGGGGCTCTAAGTAAGAAATTTCGAGTGCTTTCGGGAGTGTGGAAATAGAAGTAAAGTTTAACCTCAGAAAAGAACGTATATCGGCGTCCTAAGGACATCATAGATTTAAGCAGAGAAACGGCGGTGACATCAGAGGAGATCATTGGGTTGGCATTTGGACGCCAACCTCCTCCCCCCTCTTCTTTTTTCCTCCTGTGCGGGACCAACTCATAGCAAAACCGGTTTAGGAGTATTTCAAGACCCCGCAGCGTGCGAAAGTGCGAAACGGCGAAGTCTCGAATGCGACTTTGAAATAAATAGAAGAGGCAATATATCCTGCTGGTATGTTGGCAGCCAACGCAGCCGCCTCTGAAACCAGTTTCAACTCATGGGTGCCTACCAGCCTACTACAGAGCTAGGTAACTGGCTAGCTTCCTGGCCTGTAACGGGAAGCTGGAAGCTGGAAGAGATGCAAAGAAGAAGACAATGACTTACTTGAGAACTCTTTTCCTTCAACGAGCTATCATCACATCACATCACATCACATCACCACCCGCCTTGCTTCACCTCAGGCCTGCCAAGAGCTGCGAGCAGAGATCTGGCAACTGTAGTAAACAGATGATAGAATCTATCTGATGAAAATTATTGAAATGACTAACCCTGCCAATGGTTCACACAGTCACACAGCTGTTCGCACGATCTCTGGCTAAAGCTTTATGCGTCTCAGCAGCTCAACAGCAAAGCCAGCCTTCTCTCGTTGAAAGAAAGAATGGCAACAGCAAAGACTTACTTAGTTTCCTCAACTAGCTATCATAGTAGGTAGCTTGCTGCTGGTGGCTGGTGGAACATATTACCGGTGGAACCCTGAACCTGGCCTTCTATCCCCCTAAAGATTGATTGGGCCATTCAAGATTCAAGGTGTGTCCATTGGCACCAAACTGGCTAACCAGAAGCTTGGCGTTCGCCGCGTGCGTCACAAGCTAAAGAGTTCGACCAAAAACTTGGTTTATTTCATCAATCCCTCAACAATCAACAATACTGTACAGTAGAGACAGTACCAGTATCTGTACCAGCTACCGGTACCGGTAGAGTCTACTCTTCGTACCGGCATTGATTGAGAGCTGATTGAGCTGGTTGTTTGGTTGTTTGGTTGTTTCGAGTTTCGAACCGCGGCTGTGTATCGCTGTCTTGGTGAATGCTGAAGTGCCGCCATTTTTCGTACAGGAGTCTACTAGCTAGTAGCTCGCACAGTACAGTACATTACGGTACTAGTACGGTGTACATGTTAGTACGGTGCCGTGAGCCAAATCCCGCAAGATACCGATTTGTGATTCATTCATGTACCTCCTCCCAAACAAAGATGGCGCTATGTCCAACGAGTTTCAACCCAAGGAGTAGACAGAGGATCTTGGTAGTAGGTGCCACCGGATCCGGTAAGTCCACGCTAGCATCCATCCTTAGCGTTCAGCTTGGAATCTTCTACATGGAACTGGATGACCTTTATTGGGCTCCAGGGTGGACTCCGTCGCCCGACTTTGAAACACGTGTCCAGCAAGTCTTGCAAGATCATGAGAGTTGGATTGCAGATGGCAACTACCGTAAAGTGCAACCTTTGCTGCTGGATCGTGCAGACTGTGTGGTTTGGTTGGATTATCCCATTTGGGTTAACTTTTGGCGTCTGTTGCGTCGCTGCTTGCACCGTTGGTGGCATAATACACCGTTGTGGTCTTCTCTTAATCACGAGATTATATGGACACATTTCACTGATTGGAACAACTCTTTGTTTGTCTGGCTTTGGAAAACTCATGGCCCTATCCGCCAACGATACCTGGAAATGAAGATGAACGATGAATCTAGTGTGGATGGTGGATGCACAAGGCAATGGATCCATCTCCAGTCACCAAGGTCTGCTGAGCGATGGCTGGATACTATTGATTGTCCTTAGAACGAAACAGCACGGTAGGGTTTATCATAGCCTCCCTGCTACGGTGAAGCTGCAGTAGTAATGGAATGTTCAAAGTCATGTCGTCTACTTGTGCTTCTTTTGTCTATTGGTTCTTCTTTTGTCTATTGGTTCTTCTTTTGAATAGCCAATTCAATGTGAGAAGTTCCAGCTTGCTCAGAGAGGACATGTGGAAAGAGTGAATGATAGGATACAAGGGCACAAGCAATCCCCAACATGATCCCTGCCACAACATCACTGGCATGGTGCCATTTGTCAGCAATGCGACTGCAGGCCACATAAGCAGCCCAACTCCAAGGGACGAGACAAATGGTCCATAAGGCCCATGGTCTCCACCAACTGTAATCGGCGCCTGCAAGAGAAGGGGGCGACACCAGTAGCTTCATTTGGCCAACCAGGACAAGGACAAGAAAGGTCATCCCACACCATGACAAACTGGAATGTCCAGAGGGAAATGAGAGCTGTGCCTCAAGTACCTTCTTGGCGGCGGCCGTGCAGGTTCTGGATACAGGATCCCATGCACAGATGTGAGTAAAAGTTGGGTCGTCTTCGCAGAACAAAATATTTCAACATGTGGGTCAAGATCTCGCACATGCTAATGCCAGTGAGCAGACCGGAAACACTGGAAAGAGTACAGTTCCAGCTGGACTTGTAGAATGTATGGGTCAGAATCATGATAACCACAGGCAAAGAGATGCAGGTCCGGAACAAAAGCTTGGAAGGGACGGCTGCAGGATAGACCAGTGGGTGATTCAGTTCAAAATTCACAATGGTATCTCCACTGCTCAGCTGCTGGTAGGGATGTTCTCGAGTGTACACTTCGTCATGGGGAGGCACCAGCAATTCCTTGTAGTAAATACCCAGTACGTAGATTCCCAGGCTTATCCCGAGGTTCTGTATGGCCGCCCAACTGACCCCCGTGGAAGAAGTTGTGCTACCACGGATGACAGGTTCTTGGAATGACGATCTTGTGCTGGCACTGAGGTCGGTGGACAATGTCACACTGCTCATAGAACTGACCTGACGGTCCAGCAATATCATGTCTTCTTTTTCCTTGGGTGGCATTGTTGCTGCTCTTTGTCCACAAGACAGGACGCGATTGTGTTTTTGGTGGTGCTGTTCAAAATGACAAGAAATCAATCCGTCCATCATTATTCTTCTTGATTGCCCACTGGCAACCCTCATCGTCAGAACAACCACGTTTCGTCTTTTCGTGCCTGGCATTGGAAGACAACCATCATACATTGCAGTGTACTAGTACATCATCCTTCCTGGTAGAAGATATGATTTCCGGGTCTGTGATTGGCTGTTCAATCACGCTAAGCACACAATAAGGTTAAGGCTTAATGATTAAGAGTTCACTTCGTGACGGTTTTAGGAACGTCTCAGCGCATCCATTTACATGTAGCTCCCCAAGGCTGCCCCCCTAGACAATATCACCAAGCAAAAGTCTGCAAGAAGGCTGCCATGGGGCTGGATAGTTGTCTTGAGGTTTGGCATGACAGGAGTGCTGATAGCTGGTGGTGGGGGTGCTTGATAGGTGGCTGAGTTGTACAAGTTGGTACAGTGGGAGTAGTCTTGACTGTGGTAGTGGCTATTGGAGCAGACAAAGGGCAAGTGTGCGTGGAGTATGTAACCAGGGGTGGCTTCTTCCCTCCAGGCAAGTACCAGTACTGAGGTTACTGGGAATAGTGGGTTGAGAGGGAAGCAGGAGTAGATGCAGTGGACTTGTCTAGAGGACTTCTGTTGTTGCTTGTGGCTGGCAGCTGAAGTGACTGGGGCCTGAGCATTTAATTTACTTTCGGGATCTTAAATTTGGTGAAAGGCTTGGGTCTGGAAGAAATGGTTCTGTCTTCAAGGTGTACTGGGGTGGAAGTTCAGCAGCTGTCAAGCAAGTCGATGTGGGAAGAGATGAGGATGAGAATTTTGACAAGGAGGTGTGTGCCTACACCAGGACCAGGAGTGTGTGGGGCAAACTTGTTCCAGAACCCTTGTTTCTTTCTGAGTCGCCCTCAGGCGGAGTCAAGTTTCTAGGGCTACAACCTGGCAGGTCCCTTAGTGATGAGGAATGCGAGAATGATGACCTCTTTTGCCGGCAATGGCAGTCAGGCCTTGCTACTCTTGAAAGCAAGTTCGGAATTCGACACAATGATGCCAAAGGCAATGCTATAGTCATTGAAACCAATGGTGAAGAGAGGCTTGTTGTTATTGATTTTGAGGACTGGGAGGATCTTTTTAATTAACTAAATCAAAGAGAATGGCTTCAGTTGCATCTCTTTTGGATTGTCGCTTCCAGCACCCTGGCTTGTTTTGGAGTGTCGCTTCCAGCACCCACGGACGGATTGGATCGATCAGACATGTAGACACAGAGATTCTAAATGATTCTACCAGCTCAGTACGCCTAGTAGATGAATTGGATGGTCAACGGAGACAGAAGGACGCAACTGTGGATCCAGCAGCAGCTTCGGTACCATTGGTGGCGCGGAAATTGATGAGGCCGAGCTTGCAGCTTCATCTGGCTTGGATCTTGGTGTAGATGAATACCAATGATGTGGAAGGGTTAGTTTCAAGGATTCTGATAGTGCGGATGATGGTGCCAGAGGACGTGACATGAACGATTCCGTCTTTTGCCAAGGTGGTTGTAGTAGAAGGCTCAAACTGGCCCCCTTTCTAGCTTCAACAACTTTTTGCCCTACAGACACCTCATCTGCGTGATTCGGTGGCTTCCTCAGTGAAGACGAGCGATAGGATCCTGGAGGTTCCATTGGTTGTCTCTTCCCGAAAACTAGGCCAGACAAGCAATGGGATCTGGTCGAATACTGCAATACTGCCGTTGGATCTTGGGCCCATCTCATTGCATTACTGTATTTGGCTGCTGCCGTTCTCCTCGCTGTGATCTGATCCCCTTTCTAAGAGCCGTGCCAGGGGCTTCTTTACTCCACACATTGAGATCCTGATAGTGCTCCATCAGCTGTTCATTTGTCTGCGTGTGATATCAGCTTGTGGCTGCCTGCTACGTCGAACAGTACATCAGCACCAGCAACTAGAGTAGTCCCAACATTACTAATCCACTCTCCGCCAAAAACTCTGCAAGTTCAGCACAAGCTAGCTAGCCGCTCGTACTTTTTGATACGCAATTAGATATCCGAGTCACATTTCTTTGTCATCATCAGCAGCACTGATGGGATTATCAGCCTTTGCCGGCTTAAATCATTCCTGCAAAGCACGCAACAGCTAGACTAAGGGCAACAGCAACGGCCCTCCACCGTCAACGATGAGAAAGAGTCCAAGATCATCATTATCGATACCTACCGTACAGTCGTATCACTCCTAACGCCACAAGCATCCACGTTATGAGAGCCTTCGATAGAGAGCAGCTTCCACATACCGCTCCTACTGCCTTTCACGGCATGGAAGGTACCGGTACGGATCGACCAGGCGGTTTCACGTTGACTGATGTCCGTCGACCACCATCATCCTCCCACGATGAGGAGGCCCTCAATCTGAATCCCACAAGCTACCGTGATGAAGGTTGTCGACTGCAGTAACGCCCTCTCAGCGTGGATCGATGGAACAAGGCACTAGTAGTGGGCACTCGACTCTTGTGCCATAATTTCATTCATCGACAACAGATACACCTTATTCTATTGTCTTGCACGTTCAACAACTAACTACAACAAACTCATCACCATGAAGGTCGATTTCTCGTGGACCTCTTTGATCTTTGTGATCTTTTTCATCCTTCGGAATGACAGTGTCAACCGCAAGGAGTTTCAAGCTGTTCAAGCGGAGAACCACCATCTCCAAAACACGGTGTCGTCGCTTCAAATGTCCAATTTGAATCTCCAGCACACCTTGGCATACAACAAGATGGAGTACAAACTGGAGTTCTTCAAGCTCAATTTCATGTTGAACCAGACCAGCACTTCATTGGCTGAGCTCAAGGCCAAGCCCGCATCCTTCTTCCAGCTTACCTACGAGTACTTTTATGGACAACAGGCGCACCATTTTGAACCTCCCGCTGCCACCAGCGGCAACTTCACCGGGGACCCCTTCTCGTTCACTGGTGGCGGTTTCCATCCTCCTCCGCACCAGAATGTCACTCAGACGCCATACGACAAGATTCTGGATGCATACGAGGACATTGCCCACAAGGTCGACTTGACTACCCAATCCTGCTTCATCTTTGCCTTCAACACGGGTGTTGTGGTGGGGTCCAAGACGGGGGATGTCTGGCGGAGCACCATGGCATCTTGGAATGCCACCAAGGCATCTTGGAGTGCCGCCAAGGCAACTCTCCAAGGCTTTGTTTCCAAGACGGATTCTACGGTGCGGACGAAGGTTTCCAACACCTGGATGAGCACCATGGCCTCTTTTACTGCCACCAAAGGTGCCATTCAAGGTTTTGCTTCCAAGGCGACTGCCAAGGCATCGTCCAAGATCTCCAAAACTTGGACGAAAGCCAAGGCCTCTTGGAGAGCCACCATTGTTTTGTTCCGCGGCATGTCTGCCATGGTCAAGTCTTGGTTGCCCTCCCTCCAGTGGCCAACTCTCTCACAGAAGAAGAATAAAGCTGTGAAGACTAAAGCTGAGGAGCTCATTGATGAGGGTAACAAGCTCATTGATGACTACTTCATGTACTGCTCTGAGCTCTTTGGCATTACGTGGTTGGAGCGTCATGGAATTTTTCTCGGAAAGTTTGTAACTTTGGACGAAATTCAGAAGAAGCGAGGAATTCTCCAGAAGCAACACCACCCCGACAAATTGCGAGTCGATGGCGACACCATGTCCCAGGCTCTCAATGTGGCGTTCGATACCCTCAAGGAGGTGTATCTTTGGCATGCGCGAGGGGATCGAAGAGCCCTTCGCATTGCTGCGAAAGGTTTAACGTTTGACAAGGCTTGGAGTCAGACCAGGGCTGTATGGTTTTACAGCACCAAAAATGAAATTCTTGCTGAAAAGTATCTTAAAGAACTCAAGGAGCTGCTGAAAGATGCCTACTTTGATGAGGCTCAAAGCTCTGCGGGAGACGGACAATGAATGAATTACTGCGGTTTGTGTGATGGATGGTGCTGATTGCAATGGCTGTCTTGATGACGGTCTTGGCGGAGCTACGCTGTTGGTTGGTTGATTCTGGCGCGGAACGATTGGGGGCGGGGAAGAAGATGGGAGTTGGTGTTTGGTGTGGCTGTCATTGTGGAGGCAAGGTGTTCGGTTTGGGCGTGGATTGATACGGTTCGATGTGACGGGGATTGCGGATGTGGATTCGTTGTGGACGGGGGGCTGCAAACGGTGCTCTGTGGGTCACATGTTGCCAATGGTGGCTTCATATCCTGCAACACCTAGGTCTATACAAACCTGTCCGGGTGGGATTGTCTGGCAGCTGAGGTCTAGTCGTGTCTAGGCCCTGCATCGTCACATGACTCTCCCCATCAGCGGTGGTGGTCCCTATTCTGTGGTCCTTGTTGCGGAGGATTTGTGTTGGTTCTTGTTTGATGCGGGGGTCTTTCTTCTTTGGTGTTTCAGTTATGTCGGTGCTACTCTTCTTTTCCAACCCTCCCCTATGGTTTCTTTCCTGGATGACGCTTTCTCATCGGTTCGGCAATGCCCAATCGTACCGGAAGTTAACTTTTGCAACTATTCTACTAGTCTTTTCTTTAAACATATATCAAGCCTTTCTTGTTAGTCCTTATACTGTCCATAGTTCCGTTACTTCAAGCTTAGTTAGTTTCCATCGTCCTTGATGGCTCCATCCACAGCTTCAACACCATGCATAGAATTGAATCCAAATCTCGGAACCGATGCCAAAGTGATTCTGCTGGACTCCATAGCTAGTGTCAATGGCTGCCCGTAGCTTTTCTTGTCACGGCCGTCCCCTTGCACTCGAGCTATCTAGCAACATGTTGCTGGCTGCATCAGCCAGGCAGCATTCGTATCCAGAAAGCTTTTTGTGTCGTTGGATGGTACCGGTCCGTGCCGTATCGTCAGAACGTCTCCAGAGCTCATTTCCTGCTCTTTTGCGTATAGTAGCGGCTTGCCTTGCCAAGTAGCTATCAGCTTGAGGACAAGCCACTCATCAACGCCTGAAACCTTTAACAATGCTCTCTAGCTAGCTCCGGTATGGCAGATGCACTTGTACTACAATCTGTCTCCATGCATGCAGGCATGACGAAACTCCTTTGCACTGTGTGATCCGTCAGACACTTCAGGTTTCTCTCAGGGCAGTGAACAGACCTCTGGTGGCTGAATTCGCCTGCAGCATCCGTGACACTAGCTAGAGCTAGATCCTCGCTGTATTATCGTTTGCTCATGATGTCCCTGTGCGTCTGATGCCCCCCAAACTGAAGCGCGATGCAAAAGAACTTAATTAAGCAGCCTGTGCTGGGTTACTAAAAATTGTCATCTTGAAAGCGACTCCCTCCACTCATTTTTTGGGGTCGGCATTCTCACTGCCTTTTCGATCACCCTAGCACCATCCTTTCCTCGTCAACGGGGCTGGCTAGCTAGAATACATAAGTGGATTATCCACCGGAAGCCAGCAGGGGCCGTCCTTTTCTTTGCTTCCCATATCCACAGTACCGTACCACTCTCCTTTCATTGTTGAACTCCTTCTTCGACCATGGCCAAGAAATCCAAAAGCCGTTCCTTTTCAGCTGCTGCGACCAACACCCGCCATGACCCGTCAAGTAAGCCAAGCAATAACAAGGCAGAATATCTCTTGCAAGGCCTACCCGACGCCGAACGACGTCATTTGGAACGTTGCACGTTGGATGCTTGTGCTATTAATAATAATAATGCCAACAAGAGTGATCGCGACTCTCTGGTGAAACAAGCCGTGTCCATTTTGGAACAAGAGCATTGTCTGGTGCTCCACAATTGTTTGTCTTGCAACGAAATTCAAGTACTGCAGGAGACGTACGGCGCCCTACGAGAACACGGACAAACGGCCATTGGCGAAAAGGATCCCACGAGACGGAGTGGTACTCGGCTCTACAATTGCTTGTGTCAACTCGGTCCAGCATGTGACTTTTATGACTGGAAACCTGGAGCCGAACAAGCCAGAGCCTGTTTGAATCCGAAGGCGTCATCTACATGTAGTGACTCTTCTTATTATGACTACCAGTATTACCAACAACAACAACAACAACCCACCAAGAAGAAACCCCTGTGGAAGGAAATTACGGATCATTTTCATTTTACCCACATTGCTCGCGTGGAAGTGGTGACCAGTCATGTCGGGTGTCGTGCCCAAGGATGGCACATTGATGGCGTTCATGGGTTGACTGTCATTATGCCCTTGACAGATGTGGGAGTCCGACAGGGTCCCACCGAATTGGATTTCAGCATTGATTTTGTCGGTCTTTGGGAAGGAGATCCCAAAGTACGCAATGCCGCTGACGCTGCCAAGCAAATGCGAGCCGTCATGCCGGCCGGATCCGTCCTCCTCTTTAATGCCAATGTCAGTCATCGAGGATCCGCCAATATTGGACGGGTGGATCGACCCATTTGTGTCCTCGATTGCAGTCTCGAATCCACCTGTTTGGCAAAGGGAGGACCCAGAGATGTTTGGTCGGTATAAATATAAACAAAAAGGGAACGAAAGAAAATGCTACCATACGAGGAATCAATCAACCACAACCAGCACGGAGCATCCTACATACAGACGATGCCACAATGTCGGCTTCTTAATTCAAGATATTGGCGCAGAGCCATCCATCAATCAATCAATCACTCAACCGCGGTTGAGACCAACATGAAGCTTTCGCGGCTACAATTTACCTTGTGCATACTCTGCGTTGGCACATTTCCGACTCATGGTACGTGACGTGTGGCTTTACTACTTACTGCCTTTACAAGATACAAGAGTTGTCTTGAGGGAACAAAAGGCAGATCGGAATATGTCTTGCGGTGGTATATCATTCTTCCCCTCCGAAGAACCTCTTCGTGGCAAGGTCACGTATCTTGACGTAATCAGTAATTAATTACACAGGAAGAGCATACCGTTGGGGTGCCATCTATCTTCCAGTGGCAAGTTCAAACGTTTGCCACAATCCATCATTCATTTTCGGGTGGTACGTCTGTTCCTTTTTGCGCGAGACAGCGCTTGGGCCCAACAGATGCTTTCTTGACCGATTACTGTACACAAATAATTGGGCTTGCATGGAATGGAGGAAGGAAGTCCCGACCTGACCAGACAGCAACAAACCATGGACGGCTGTACATGCCACTACTATGTTGGTTCTTCAGGGTCTCCTTGCTTGCCTTTTGCGTTCCATTATTTATTTGGTCAAGGCCCACCGTCACACTGTTGGTGGCAACCGTTCAGAATGACATCCACGCCCTCTGCAATGCGTCAAGAACTTTCACAGTTTCTGTGGATCTGTATGGATTGGTAGGAAGTTCACTGTATGCAACAGCATAGCATCAATCCAGAATCGAATCGTCCCAGCATTGCATAATGCATGCTACATCGATGAATAGCTTGAAAGCGGGCTACGATGTGGTTAGAGTGGACTAACCAGTGTGGGAATGGACTCCGGAGGTCAAATGCAGCATTGGAGGGACTCCAGCCTGACAGCCAAGATTGAGTAGACCAACTGAAGGAGGAATGGATCACAACTCGATCACGACGACCGGGGGAACCAAATTCCACAATAAAGACATCAAAGGTACAATCAGTACCCCCACGCCAGAAACCGCGGAGGAGAAAATCTGTGGATAAGTCAGCAAGCTCACCCACAATTTGACTGCGGTGCTGAAGAAGAAGTCCACTGTGGGAGCAGGAAAAGGCATGGTGGAGATGAAACTTTTTCTTGCAGCCATCACAGTGGGGTTGTAGACCTGGAGGAGTCGAGTCAATCCATATTGGAAGTGTGGAGTGTCATAGAACTTGTGGGAAGAGAGGACAGTGTCATTCTCGGGCATGGGAGCCCAGCACGACAAGCCCATTTGATACCCTCAACATGGACTGCAGTGGCAGCAGTTGTGATTGTGGCAAGGGTCTGCTGAGCCTATCAGTCACCTTGGCCTGAAGCCAGGAGGAAAAGGCGGCGGCAGATCCAATGAAGCCACCCAGGTGTTGGCGACCTGAGGTGAACTTGAAGCCGAGGTTTTTGCGTCGCTTGTCTTTTCCTACAATCCCATGTCAGAGTGGGCCAAGCGAGGACAGTCAATAAGCTAGCCTTGATGTTGCTTGTCTCATGGCCTCGGACGACCACTGATATGTGCACAAACAGTGATGGATACCCGTCTCAGTTTTGTAGGCACTGTACCGGTACTACAAGCTTCAAAGCAGCAATACCGAGGAGGACCAGTCTCTACAAACATTGTGTTACAAGCTTCGAAGCGGCATAAAGAGAAGGACTTGTATAAGGTTGTACAGAGAATATGAATACAAAAGCTAAATGTTTATCTGAGTGAACAAGACAACGGACGCATACCAAGCTTGTTCCTCATCAAGCCGTTGGCCAGATGACAGGTCGTCCTTGATGGCTGGCTCCTGCTTCCTTAGAATCTGCCTGCCTCAATAATAATGAGACAAAGCAGCAAAATGTTTTTCTTCTCCTCCTTCAATATCGCTTGGTGGATCACCACCTTGTCCTATCCTTGGGGCAGCGCCAAACAAGATGTTTCTAGCTCCTCGTGAGACGGTTGAGGGAAACAAACCTTGAGGCAGGCCAGTCGCGGCTGCTCCCGAAGAAGGAAGTAGAAGATGCAAATCTCGAGTTTGCTGCTGCAGTTCCTGTTGCTGCTTTTGCATCTGCTGTTGCTGCTGTCGGATCTGCTGTTGTAGCTGAAACTGGCGAAAAAGATTGTCCCTTTGTAGCATTGCCCGTAGATCCTGGTCCAATTCGTTGGCAGCAGCCGTGCTACTACTGAGCAAACCTGGGAATGAAAGATTGCTGCGACCTCCTTGTAATGACGACAGGTTTCTTGGAGGAGTCAGCCCAGCTCTTGGATTCTGGAGGGGAAGACTGCGGGGTAGAGATTGTTGCAAATAGGAGTCAACCACAGGTCCCGGCGTAGCATGGCCACGTTCATGGGTTGTCTTCGGCTTGGTGGAGCCTCCACTACTAATAGCTGTGGGGGTCAATTTCATCTCCTTCAGAAGCTCACGTTCACCCTTTCTGAACTGGGGACTCTGAAAACAAATGGCATTCCTGGGCATTGCATGAAAAAACACGCGTCGAAAGCCCCTTCAGGAAACAAGCAACAAAGCAAATGGATTAGACTTGGCATCAGGTCGAGAACGATGGTATCTTGCGGCGGGTACTTACCATCGATTCAGAGAACGAATAAAGGAGGTCAGCTTGGTTCCACGAAAATGTACATCGAGAAACTTCTCCTGTGCTGTCTGAGAGTTCAAGGCAAAGCTGGTGCCATCAGGATTCCACCAAATCACACCATTGAGCTCTTCATTGTTGAGGTAATCCATGAGTTTATCAGGTAGACGAGCTCTCCCTTTCTTGTTAAGGACCATCTCGTACGGTATTTTCCCTTTCCTGTCCATCTTGGTGGCTGCCGCAACAAAGCTTGTCTCTTTGGGTGTCTTTTAGTCCGGTAAATTAATTTTGAAGTTTTGGCTGCTTCCTTGGGTGTTTTTGTGAGCAAAAGTCTTAGAAGAGCTCCTCGAAGTGATTGTCTCTGCTGAAAAGCTGAAAAGGAACCTAAAAGGATGCCCCCCACTTGGTTTTTTTGGAGGGCTGGGATCGGAGTGGCAGGGTACCGCGTGCGTGACATTGTGGGTAAAGCGTAAAGGCCTCGCCCTTGCATCGTCAAGCCCACTAGACTCTGTGATGCGGGAATTATGCTTCCACTTGAGCATTTCCTTCCATACCGGTACCAGTACATACATTGTAAAGCAGACTGAGCGAATCTTCAATGGGATTACCGCTGATAGAGGTGGAATGTGGAATGTATTTCTGGTGTTTCCGAATACACACAGAATGTTTTGGATTTTGGATTTCCCGCATTACTTCGTTATTACCAGTGAGTTTGACCACTGGGAAGAAGAGCTTCCTCAGTGCTCAGTGGCCAAACTCGTCACGAAAAGGGGACCTTGCGACATGAACATTTCAATCACTTCTAAGTCCTTATTGAACAATTTGGTGCACTGATCGTAAAAAGATACTAGCTATAGACTTCACCTCAACCACCAGTACTCCGAGTTGAATGTACTGAAGGACGATTGCAGAGCAGCGTCAATAAAGCTCAAGTAAACAACCAACAGTTACTCTAAGTACTAGAAAATAGCAAAGGAGGTGTGAGCGTGTGAGCTGGTGAGCTGAGTGTGTGAGTGTCAGCTGTGTGCCCATCGGTGTTCCTCATGATTCCATGCGCTGTCAGGCGTGTAGCTCGAGCTCAGCTCGTCAGCTCAGAGCACTATCTAGCTAGAGCCTCTCAGATGCTGCAACGGCTCAGCAGAAGAGAGTCTCAGAGCCGCTCTGATTTGTTGAAGGTTCTGGCAGGAGAATCCTGTACCTACGATAAAGGTTTAAAGGACAATTTACCTGGCTTTTGCTGGGTCGCTTCGTGAGCTTTTCTTTTCCTTCTTGTGCCCATTCCTGTGCGATCTGGATCGACAAAGCTGCTTTTTAGTAATCATCCTTCAGTAGAGATTTGTCTCAAGCGGCATGAACGTTCTACTATTGAGTAGTAATTATTTTGTCAAAGTCAGAGCTCGGAGCTTGAGCTGCTTGCCAAGCTTTGCCAGTTGTCAGTGATGAGCAGTGAGCAGCTCAGTGAGCTGAGCTTAGCTTGTCTGGGCTGAGCAAAGCACACCCACCCGTACCATATCTTTGGTCAATCATATGTCCTTTTACAAAGCTGAAAACAACTCTGCATCTGAAGATCTGATTCCATTCTGGACTCGACTCCTCTCCTCCGAATGTCCTTGCGGTTTGGTTAGATAACTATCATACTAGCTAGCCAGCGGTACGTGGTACGTAGACAGGATGTTTGCCAGTTTGTTACTTTCTCTGGCGAGCTAACCAGTATCTTTTATTATCCAACAAGCGAATTGTTTAATATGATGTAACATGATGCAATAGCCTTGCTTGCTTTCTTCGGCAGTGTGATTATTAGATACCTTTCGTTCTACAGCACCACGACCGTCACATTGGCGGCGTGCCACGGTTGGTACTGCGTCTCAAGTGAGAGTTCAATTTTGAAATGAAGGGTAGATGGCCAAAGTTATACTCAGTACGGTGGTACATGTATCTAACTGTATCTTTGAAGAGGAGGGCTTCAGCCCAAGCAATATGGTACTTGAGAACCGAACCTGTGTGATTCACGAAGTCGCCGCGAGGACCAACCATGGTCCAAAGGCGAGCACAGGCTGTGAGGAACCTTAATCGGCTACTAGCACCCCCGAGACCCGCCTAGGCGCCGCCCCAGGGAGAACGAATGGATGAAAGAGCCGAAGGAAAAAAGAGGATGAACCCAAAATGACGGGATCGAGAGATTTGTTCAGCTGGGAGAGAGAGGACAGCCTTCTAAGAGTGCTCTGCCGCCAGAACTCCACAGGAAATGTTGACTTCAAAGAGCAAAGAACTACGAGCAACCCCGACAATGACACAAAGACAGAAACCCGTCGACCTACCTTGCACGAGCCCACAGAGGAACAACCACATGACGACACCTTTCCCGGCCAATTGACCAACCAACCAACAGGGACAAACTTGGTGTGAATGCCACGGATGAATCACTTCCCAATTGGAAATTCCTCATCGCAACCAACAAGAAACGGCTGCAAGAGCACTGGGAGAGGTCATGCACCCACCACAACTAGAACCACGCGGATCCACCAATCACCAACAGCAACAGGAACCACCAACAGGGACAAGGTTGTGGAGTAACCCTTGGATAATCATGTCAAAATTGAAACCTCCAAAGAGACTTTCCAATCAAATGTAAGGGCCTGGAGCACTAGGCAACCAACCAAACAAACCACATGAACCACCAATCGAATGCAAGGCCCATGGAGCACTAGGCAATGGAGCACTAGGCAAACCAACCAACCAAACCACAGGAACCACCAACAGGGACAAGGCTAGGCAACCAACCAAACAAACCACCAGGAACCACCAACAGGGACAAGGTTGTAGAACTCTTAGATCATCATGTCGAAATGGAACCCCTAAGAGACTTTCGATCAAACCAAGGGCCATAGAGCACTAGTCAATGGAGCACTAGGCGACCAACCAACCAAACCACAGGAACCACCAACAGCAGCAGGAACCACCACAGGCACCGCCACAGGGACCAACAAACCACAGGAACCACCAACAGCAGCAGGAACCACCACAGCACCGCCACAGGAACCTCCAGAGGACCACCACAGGGACCCACCACAGGGACCACCAACAGGGACAAGGTTGTAGTACTCTTGGATCATCATGTCGAAATTGGAACCTCCTAAGAGACTTTCGATCAAATCCAAGGGCCATAGAGCACTAGTCAATGGAGCACTAGGCGACCAACCGACCAAACCACAGGAACCACCAACAGCAGCAGGAACCACCACAGGCACCGCCACAGGGACCACCACAGGAACCACCACAGGGACCACCAACAGCAGCAGCAGCAGGAACCACCAAGGAACAAGGTTGTAGAGAACTCTTGGATAATCATTTCGATGCTGTTTCACTAGCGGACCGTTCCTTTGTGTTGTCGACAAGAGTGTGACCGCCAACACTTGCCGAAGCGACCGTTGCTTTCGAAACTCGAACCTCCTAACCAACTGATCGATCAAGACCTGAGACGTTGGGAACTAAAGGAGATGAGACGGTAACAGTCGTTGACCGTTTCGAAACGGGCAACGACAACAGCACCGGAAAAGTGTCATCGTCATGAGCCCACCCCGACTATAGAACCACCGCAAGATGACTCGAGACGATCAACGCCACAGAGGAAAGGTAGGCACCATCTAGAGTGAAGGTGACCAAGCGGACGTGTAATAGCGCGACGTTGTTCCATCATTGTCATCGTCATGCACTTCCGAAGAAGAGGGGAGTTGTGTTGAAAAAGCAGTGGACGACAAAACGAACGATTTTGTTGCTTTCGCCTCAAATGAAACGCCAACGATCGATTTTGATTTTGATTTTGAAATTCGAAAGGCTCTTTTGTTTTGACTTTGCTGGTGCGAGCAAGAGTTTCAAAATGGGTTCGTCGGTGTTGTCGTTTTCAAAATGGGCTCGTCACTCCGAACGATTTTAGATTACGATTGTTCAAGTCGTTGCCTGAAACGATCGGAGGCAAAGGTACGTACTAGTACGTACGGTTTCGAGAAGAGGAAATGGGTTGGAGTTGGAGGAAAAGTGATAGTTTAATACATGAAACGGGCATTTGGTACCGGTAGACTGAGACTGCTAGTACAATAGCTAGACTTCGGTGGGTGGCTTCCACACAAGCTGCTTGCCGGCGAAAACCGCATCAAATCGAGCAGCTCTACTGTACGGTATGGATCTTGCTACAGCATGGATCATGCTAACGTTACGGCTTTGACCCGAGACCCCCTTTCCCCTCTCCAGAGTCTGATTCGATTCGTTGGATGCTGTTGCTCATATACCGGTGGTGGAGATTGCCGTCGGACTCTCTTGTAGTGCATGGCTGAAGAAGAATGCAACCTGCAGTGTCTACAACCACTGACCGGTGGCTGCTCAGTGCCTTTTTCGGTTTTTGCTGTTTGAGGAACAAAGACGCAAGGAGGGGGGACGTTGATAGCGGGAAATGGATTGCTACAGAGCAGTCACGGAGCGGCAATCAGAACTACAATCCCCATTTTCTAAATCGTTAGGATGACTGACAATTGACTATATACATGTATTTAGCTAGCTCGCTCGCAACTACACGTAGACATCACTGGACCCCATGGTCACGAGTGGAGGTGGCTCGTCGCCATTCTGCCGTCCACGAGGTTTCCGGTTCGTGGCACCAATGGTAATGGAATGCCCGCTTCCATCCGAAATCCCTTCTTCTTCTTGTCGTCGTCGTCGTTGTTGACTGCCTTGATCAACGTTATTGCTCCTTGCATCCTGTGTGTAGTTGGACAAATCGGCCGTCATGGCCGTGTTGGCCGATGAGTGGAGTTGCTCCGTCACCTTGGCTGCAGGGTTCCTGCTGCTGCTACTGTTTCCCTTGAGCATTTGGAAGAGTTTCTTGACAGGGTTTTTCTTTTTCTTCTTTTTGTCGGATGCCGCTGACTTGTTGATGTTGTACTCGGCTGGTGCGTTGTATGGCAAGCTGTTATTGCCAAGGTCCAGAATCACGTCGTCATCATCATCATCATGTACGTCGTCGTCGTCATGATCGTCTTGCAGTTCTTCGGATGGTTCAATGTAGTTGACGGAATCGGAGAATTGGACGGTACTGCGACTGCTACCGGACGCAATGGGTCCATTGTCATTGCAATTTTCTTCATCCTCTTGTTGCTGCTGTTGGATGCGGCCACTGCGCGACTTTCTGCTGCCATTGTTGTGAGTCTTGGAGAAGCTACTGCGCGATGCCGGTACCGACGATGCAATGGTACGATTGTCGACGAGTTGTGTTTTTGCCGTTTCCGTGGTGGCTTGTCGTTTGAGCACATCCTCATAAAAGAGTTGATCGAGTGTGGACAGGTTGTCTTGTTCGTGAATAGAGTCTGCTGCCATGGACGTCTGTGAGTTATTATTGTTGTGTCCCGAGATTTCGAGCTCATTGCGAAACGACTGCGAGAGTGACATGGTGGAGATATCTTGCAAGTTTGTTCGATGACTGCTGCCTCCTCCAATGACACTGAGTGTGAGACTGTGCTCCGACGATGCTCCCAAGTCGTCACTATTATGATGACGGCTGCTGTTTCGTCGAAGTTGTGCCAGTTGTTCTGCTAGTTTGTCTTGAATCTGCGTGTGAAGTGAGTGATTGGGTCTTGCGGAGAGTCCTCTGAGTTTGCATCCACAGACGGGACATGTTTTGTTTCCTAGGTGAATCCATTCCTGAAATACTTGCTGTGAGAGTGTATGATTGCAATCTCCCTTGACCGAGACGGGATGCGTCATGATCTTTTTGGAAACGGGACAAATGGCCCAGGAAGGAATGTGATTGTTTGCTGCAGTCGTACCGGTGATGGTACTAGCAGTGGCAGTGGAATGCAGGGAAGCATTGGTGAGCATTGTGGCAAAGGAAGCATCTAGCATGGCATTGGTTTGACAGGAAGCTTCCAGCATGTTTGTCATGGTAAGGTTGGTATTGGTTTCTGTTTCATCAAAGGATAGCAGTTTGTGAAGGAACTTGTCTAGATACTGAAGCGCTTGCGTGGCCTTGTCCCTGCTACTGTTAGTAGAAGCATCCAATGCTTCACTACTGCATGTAGTAGTGTTATCTTCTGGATTGGCGTGCTGCATGACTTTGTGAAATAGCTTGCGCTTATGCCTCTGCAGTACTCGTACCAGTTCCCCCGATTCTGTTTGCAGAGAGGCTTGAATAGTCAGTGGCAAGGCAGCGTCCGAGTGGAGAACGTGCGCCTTCTCAAAAGTTGCCTTTTCCATGAGGAATTCCATTCTAGCTTGCTGCTGTTTCCATAGTTTGATGGTGATGGTGGTATTGCTTGGTTGTTGCAGTAGACTTAGGTATAGATCCCCCATGGCTTCTGCCAGGTCCACAAGCAGATCTGGCTGTTCCACAAAGAATAGGACAGGATGGAGCTTGACCATGCGCTTGACAATGTTAGCTACTCTCTTGGAGTCCTTCAGCAAGGACTGCAGCTCCAAGCCATCTTGATCATTCTCCTCTTGAGGAGTATCCCTATCCCTATCCCTAATGTTGGAGTTGGATTGGAATTGTTGCGTGAGAGAGTCCATGAGCTGCTTGACAATAGATAAGGATGGCACAGTCAAGGCTTCTGTAGGTTTCTCTAGTTGTTCTTGGCATAGATCGTGTACATAGCTAGCAACGGCCAGAATCTGTTGGTCCAGAGGAGCTGTGCACTTGGGCTTGTCCTTCTTATCCTTCTTCTGCTCCTTCTTCTTCTTAACCTTATCCCTCTTGCTGCTCGTCTTGGCAATGGCAGTGGTAGTGGCAGTGTTACTACCGGTACTAGTACTAGTAGTAGCCTCCATGGTCCCTTCTTCTGCTTGTCTTCTTCTTCTTCTGGCTGTTCCTTCAAAATTGGCAGAATTGGCAGAATTGGTAGAAATGGCCGTTGCTGAGAATGGCTCTGCTGATAATGGCTGTCGCTGGTGTGGATGTGGACGTTTGCTGGGTTTGACTCTCCAGAGCTGAGTGTACATTGCTACCAAGTCTAGCTAGCTAGCTAAGAGCTCTAGGTAGTTTTAACCATCGACAATGATGTGACGATGATGTGATGAGATCAGATGCTACCGACAGATCGAAGAGTAAAAGTGAGATGGTCGGTTTTCGAAGGTTCCGCAGCCAAAAGATCCCATCTTCTTGCCATCTTGGCCGTTTCATTTGATGGGTGGCCGAACATTTTCTTGTTTAAAAGAGGACTCGTAAAAATGTGAGACTCTACTGGATCATCACTAATTAACGATTGAACCGTCACTTTCCATGAGGCTTAACGATCAGCACTCGTGATCAAAATTTGCCATTATTAAATCAAAGAAAGGGTCGTAGAGTAAAGAGTTATGGAGTCATTGCTTTGTCAGATCCAGTGGGATCTCCGCGCAGCTAAACCAGACCGTGACCTTTTTACCAGTCACAAGCTGGCTTATTTCTATTCCTACAAGGTACGGTGCCGTCTCAGGGTATGCTACATGTACGATGATATTATGTTAAAAGATGACCCACCATGAAGATGAAGATCACTTCTCTAATTACCATCACATTCATGGCCAACTTCTGCAGTGCTGAATTATGCTATTCCATCGATGTTGCCGCCACAGGAACCACTGTTAGAGAAACAATTACACCCCCAACTGGAACCACCGAGATTGTTTGCGATGTCGGCTGTGACAGTGACGGTTCTAGAATCTTCTCAGTTGTAGTGTAACCACCATTTCACACATGACATCCTCAAGTGTATACCTAGGATATTATTTGACACAAGACGGCACCATGATCCTGGTCATCAGGTGTTATTGCAATAATCTCAGCACTTCTGCTCCTACCAGTACTCCCGCTCCTGCTCCCGCTTCTTCTTGTTTTTCTAACCAAGCCACTGTGGCAGTGCAACAGCCAGGCCAAGGGCAAGGACAAGGTTCCCATACCCGTAAGCAATAGGTGTTCGAGGCAATTGCAAATAGCTTTGCAAATGCTGACACCTCCGGCTAGCTAGTGCCACTTATTTGCCAACAGCCACTGCCACCGGTACGCTTGGCATCATGGTCACTGTGACCCCCCACCGGTACCTGGTACCACATGGCACCTATCAGGCCCTCATGCAAATTGCAAAACTCTCCTCCCATCTATCAGCCCACAAAATTGAATTAAGCTCTTGAAAGAAGAAAGTGTTAAAAGCCGCCCACCCATGAAGATGAAGATCTCTGCACTCCATCTCTTTACCATTACACTCATGGCAGTGATGGCCATGGTCCGCGGTGATGCTATCTGCTTTTCCGAAAATCGGAAAGATGAAGCAGGTGGTTATCTCATGTCGCCCCCTCCAGATGGAACCACACATATCCAATGCAGGGTTACCTGCACCGGTCCTACAAGTACAGTCAGCGCTGTTGAAATTCAAGTAAATGGAGTTATACGGGATAGGGTTGCCAATTGTGGGCGCACCACCCTTAAGGTTCCATTTGAATCTGGAGAGATACAGCTGTACTATGGGGTAGACATAAATGGTGTTAGCATCGATTGTGTTTGCTTTGGGGCCGCTGGCCCTACTGCAGACGATCCGTCCTCTTGTTTTTCAGAGGAAGCCACTGTGGCAGTGAAACATCCGGGCCAAGGACAAGTCCCAGAACCCACCAAAATGGCGGACCTCAAGATTGGAGACATGATCTTGACAGCCAACAACCGGTACCAACCCGTCTACGCCTTTGCTCACAATGATGCCACGACTGACATGGAGTTCCTCCAGATCCACGCCACAAACGGCAGAACAACAAGAACAAGGAACCTTTGGAAGTCACTGGTCAGCACTTGATCTATTTGCAGGGCAAGGGTGCTCCTGTCACGGCCAAATCCATCAAGGTTGGTGATTGTCTCGCCCATGTTCAAGCTGGACATGGACGAGGAGGAACTGCTCTTGTCACCAAGATCAAGACTGTCCAGCGCCATGGAATCTATGCTCCCCTGACTCAGGATGGCACCCTTGTGGTGGATGGCATTGCTTCTTTATGCTACATTGCCCTCCAGCCCAATGGCGATCCCCAAATGATGGAACTAAACGGCTACTCTATGGTTGCCTGTTCTCTCACCACAGTGGTTGCTCACATGTCATGACCTGCTCGTTTGGTTTGCACCGGTGGGATCAGCCCCAAATGGTGCCACGAATACAATAACGACGGTGTGGCACTTTTGTGCAGATGGCGTTTGATTTGTCCAACGGTTCCAGCCCAGCACTGGGTGGTTCAGTTGTTCCTTTTGGCTGTCTACTTGGTGGTTTGTGTCCCCTTTATGCCTTGGAGCACTTGTTTGGTGCAACGGTGGCTGCTGCTGTGGTTGTTGGTGGATTGGTCCTTGTGGGTTTTGTCCGTGGAATAATTCCTGTGGACCCATCAATGGACTTGAAGAAGAAAGCTTGAAGAACGCACAACCCTGGCCCAAAATAGCTATATGTAACTTTTTGAAAATTACAAAACAAAAACCTTGCAACCAGGAAGCGTCATGCTAGTTCAACATCGCCTAAAAGCATGACTCAACCACCCATAGCTTGGGTTCGACATGGGCTTCTGATCTCAATCGTGCATGACCTTTAAATCCGACCCTAATTTAGGGTCGGTTTGGGGAAACCCGTCCCTAAATCCGACTGAATTAGGGTCGTTTTCGAAACCCGACCCTAAATCGAAACCCGTCCCTAAATTAGGGACGTTTTTTCAGAAACCGTCCTTATTTTTAAGAAACAGTCCCTATTTTTAGGGTCGGTTTTCAAACCCGACCCTAATATTGGTGCGTTTTCAATGTATTTACCATTCAGTCCCGTTTCGATTTAGGGACGTTTTTCAAACCCGACCCTAAATCGAAACCCGTCCCTAAATTAGGGACGTTTTTTCAGAAACCGTCCCTATTTTTCAGAAACTGTCCCTATTTTTAGGGTCGGTTTTCAAACCCGTCCCTAGAGGGAACCCGTCCCTAAATCCGTCCCAAAAATAGGGTCGGTTTTTGTTAAGGCATGCACGATTGAGGAACGCTCCAGTTGAAGCTTCTCGATGAGAGCAAGTCTGTTGAATGACCGCACCAGTAAAATACCAGAAGAGCTATTACCCGGCTGGCTTCCGTAGCTAATTACCCTACCGGTACATAGACTCTAAACCCCCGTTATTGATTAATATTACAAGGACAGACCGTCCACAGTTTTCCCTCAGGCTTTAACGCCAATCAGTATCAGGCCAAATTAAGGCTAGCTGTGGGTCAAATGTGACCTACGCTTATTTTTCACATGGGTCAAAGTGACCTATGCAGGTAGCCACAGGTAGGTCACAAAAGCTTAAAAAAACCCAAATGAAAGTTGGGCAATGGCGCCATCCTCCCTCCAACCAACAATAATTTGGATCCAATGCCGGCAATCCTTGCTTGCACAACAGAAAGATATCGTGGCTACAACAGAAAGGATCCAAAAGCTAGAAGAAGACTACAACCAATGCCTTTCATTATCTCATTATCTCAGCAGGCATCATGACAACTCGCAACAACAAGGAAAACAAAGGAGAAATCAATTGGGCCGCCATCATGCAGTCTGATTGGGAACACGACATCAAGGTCATCGAGCAGTTTCAGAATGAAGGTGTTGTTGCTGACGTTCCTCTCTCTCAGAAGCACGCCATTGCAGTGAAGAAAGAGCAAGAAGACAGTGGTGCTGATGAAGGAGAATTCGAGTTCGGCAAGGATGAACCAGCTGATGCAGTGGGCGGTAAGAACCTCAAACCAAGAACACCAACTGATTATGGATTCAAAGTCGTGAGATTGACTGACCTTGTTCCTGACGGCTTTCCCCAATATCCAAATGGATCTCCTTCCTTCCCTCATGGCGATGATTCACCTATCTACCCCAACCACCCTGATGTCAATGAATATGCTGCCGCCGATCCAACCATCCGACGAACAAATTTGCCCCACAAACCCACAGTCCTCGATTACAAGAAGAAAGAGTCTGAGCCTCTGGAGTCGAGGACCTGTCGATATTGCTTCCAGGCGCCGTGCTATATGCTGCAGGACATGATGGGTGGTTCGCTCTTGATGACTGGAGACATGAAGAAGGATGAAGGATATGACAACAACAAGATTCGGAAGGCTCTCTATGGGGAAGCCTCTCGTATGATCAATGGTCGGCTTGGCCCAGGAAAGCGAATGAAACTTCCAGTCTGTGTGGAAGGTGAGATCAAGGATTGCTACCCCCGAAAGAAGACTGATGCAGAGTACATGGGCTTCAAGGCGAACTAGTACCGCTACAATCAGTCAGAGAGGCAGTAATCAATCAGAGAGTGACTGCCGGATTAGCCAATCGCCAAATAGTTCAATGGCGATTGACCCAAAGAAATGTTCATCGCCACAAAGTAGGATAATGTCTAGTAAAAGTGATCACATCTGTGACATATAGCGTTTGGAACTGCTCTCTTAGAATGTAATTAGGCTAATCATACAGCTCATTCTCGCTGCTATCCATGTAGACACCACCATCACCAGCATTGTTTTTCTCACTGTCATCGCTCGTTTCCTCGCTGGATTTCTTCCCTCCTTTAGCAGTGTCCTGTCTCTTACGCTTTCGAATCTCTTTGTCTGGTTTACCGTAAAGCGTTCGAAGTGTCTTCCAGATTGGGGCATTCCTACAGATCGATCGTGCCCCCTTGCAGTGTTTGGGATCTCGAAATTTCCACAGAGCAACACCATCAGGATGATGCGCAATCTGGAAGCACGTTTTCTCCTGGAATTGCTGGAGATGGTGAATCTTCCTATCAGAGTCTGTGACAATGTGATTGTGTGCATAAATTCCACAAACGGAGCAAACAGCAAGCCCAGTCCTGATTCCTGTCGCTCCCAATTTCGGATCAAACCATTCACCATTCTCTAAGCGACAAACAAGGCATCGCTGCCTTGCATTACTCTTCATCTTGGTTTGGAGAGGAAGGTGATCCTTCATGATATCCTCCTCCTCTTGGGTGTGATGCTTTGTTGTGACTTCGGGCTCGGTGTATTCCAACAAAGACTCTGCCACGAAAAGCATAAATTCGTGCCTTTTCAGCTGGTTCCTGTTTCGAGAAGCTCTTTCCTGCGCAGACAAGTTCCAGGCAATGTGTGCATTCATCAACATCACGTCAAGGATGGCAAGGAACACTCGCTTATACCACTTCTTGAAGTGGGCTTTTGTGGAGAAGCCACCAAAGTGAGCCCGCATTTCGTCTCCTTTGTCCACACCAAACATTGTTTTCTGGTAGCCAATCATTACAGCCGGACAGTCCAGCTGCCTCGCCAATGGACCAATCTGTCTCTTCACTGTGCCGATGGTAGTATCGCTCCTGGTGCTGACCATTGTAACTACCTTGTTGTCAACCCACTGCGTCATAATTACGCGATTGACTCTGTCGGCGACTACCTTATAAGCACCACGACCATTTTTCTTATCCAAGTCCAACAGATGGTCTGGAAAACCCTTTCTTCTACGGCGACAAGTGCCCGTACTGTAACAACCACATTTGGTGAGCAACAGAACAGCCAACTCGGGGCACATGTACCGGTTATCCATTGCAATGTGTCTGGCGCCACCACCATCATCGAATGTTGACATCACTGCATTCATAACCGCTTTCTGTGTTGTAGGAAGGTCTTGGATGCTCTCATCAATGCCGACGTTTGTTGCATTCCTGCCCTGATAGACATCGATATTGAATATGGCGTAAGTTGAAGAGCACGCAAGGATAAAGAAGTCCACGCGGAACTTATTGGGTTTGTCCTTATTGTACTGTCGAACAGGACAAAAGCGGGACCTGCAAGCAACACCACCCTCATCAAAAGCGCACTGAGCTCCTGCTTCGAAAGTGGATTTAGAGGCACTATTGGTGGCATTGATTGCTCTCCTCAACTGGTAGCATTTGTCGCTGGTACCGGCCATGTCTTTATCTTCTGGATGGAAAGCCGACCTTATTTGCTTGAATCTCTGTAGTGTCATGTGCCGATAAGCCCACCCTTCACTGCCTTCGATTGTCAAGGCCTCTTCGCTGTTACAGAAACTTATCTGCATCGGTTCTTTCTGAAAATATGCTGGGTAGCCGCCACCATCCATGGGAGCCAAAGATATCTTCAACAAGATGCCTAGGAATTGCACTACGCTAAAAGCTAGTGTAAAGATCTTTCGAGTGTTTTGAGTTTGAGAGAATGAAAGTTATGAGAGGATTAGAAAGCTATGAAAAACTAATCAACGAGAGAGATCCACAATCAAAGGATCGTAGATCTGAACTCCGCGGGAGACTGTAGAGTGAGATAGAGTAGGTGGGTAGCAATCTACTACTCCACGATCCAAAAAACGGAACGCGTGGAAGATTCGTCTAGCATTTATCTAGTAGCGTGGAAGTACTCCACGTGGCTAAATATCTAGAGCGATGTTTCATCATCAACCTAGTATTGACTAGAGCGGTCATTGAGAATTCTGTCTCCAATGACTATTCGCGAAGGACTACGTCATGAGTCGAACTCAGACCCTATCTAGGATCGAGTCGCGAATAAGGCTAAGAGCCGTGTATTGCAGAATACATGCATCTCTTTTACACTTATGTCTTTCCAATGGCCACCACAAAGCTTCCTTTTCCGATGGTTACCCAGTAGGTTGTTCTTCGCATAATCGTTAGATTCCCTTGTCAGTGCTGTCACGAAGCCTCTGCTACAACCAGCACGTTGGAAGCATTCGAATGGATCTTTCCACCGATCTCCCACTCCTGGCTTCAGCTTAGTGTCACCCTTTCGCATGTTCTTCCTCTCTGTAAAAGGCACATCCTCAGAAGTCACTGATTGGAATTTCCATTGCAGTTTCTGTGCCAGCTTGCCGTAGGTGTCATCTTTGGCGATTGTTGTTGCATCGGTAGCTTGGATTTCGTAAATATCGTCATCACTATCACAGTCTTCAGCCATCCTTGCGGTATCGAAGGCATCATCATATTCATTGAGATCGTCTCCATCATCAGAGTCAGAGTCATACCCATCAACATCATCTCCTCTTGTCACTCGTCTGTTTGTTTCCTTGTGTCGCGAGCTGGTCCCGCTACCAGACGAACATGCAGTTTTTAAACTTGCATATGCTTGTGCCCTTTCATGCGATGTTGGTTGCTCCTTACTGGATTTCTTTGGTGCTGGTGTCCTGGTGTTACTGCCTGTTGATGCCCTTTCTGTTGAAGTTCCCACGGTCCCTTGGCTGTCCGCGGGAGTGCTTTCTTGATCAACTACCAATCCTTTCTGCTCCTCCTCATAGGCCAATATGAGTTCTTTCAGCTTTGTTCTGAACTCTGCCGAATTGTCCTCATAGTTCTTCGTCCATCGAATGTCTACATCAGTGCCAGCTGTAATCCATTTGAAGCCATATCGCTTTCCGTTCTTGCTGGTGGGGCATTGCGTCACCTTTCCTACAATCTCCAGGTCATTCTGTGGATACTTTCCCAAGAAGGAGGCCTCATGCTCCGGATTCAGGAACAGTTCACTGCTACACTTGAAGTGTCTGCCAGAGAATGCAAAGCTCTGTCGCTTCTTCTTCCTGGTAGTGGTGGTTGCTGCGGTATCTTGGGTTTGCTCAGTTTGAGACTCTTGCGGGACCACTTGTTCTTCGTTTTCGTTTGCTTCGTTTGGGGGTATTGTTGAGTGCCTCGAAGCACCTGTCAGCAGCTGCGACAAGTCTAGAGCCTCTCTAACTATACTAAGACCAGTTTCCTCACCTTGCGGTCCACTCTTGCCATGCAGAGGAGGCATGGGAGGGTCCGTCATGGTGGTGTCTGTTTTTTATCCTGTCGATAGTCAAAAAGTCCCTATCTTTAGGCTGCCACAGCGCCTCTGTGGCTGGAGATAGCCCATGGTGACCCATATACTATACAGAGAAGCAGCTTTCAACGCTCTTTCGAATGGTGCTATCTAGAATAGCTGTAGTTGGACTTTAGAGGTGGTTATGGTTTAACAAGGTCTGCGTAGGTCACATGTGACCCATGCAGGTCTGCGTAGGTCATATGTGACCCATACCTCTGATTGGCGTTAAATACTGCCACGACTGACTCATAATCCTGGTTCCTAGTTCTCGTCCTAATCACATCTCATATTTTATTAGCTCGCTAGACGTACCGGTACCTAGCTAGCTGGCTAGCAAATGAATTTTTTTACCGAGGATTTAAGAGGAGGATTATCCACGGAAGCAAGCTTGCTACAAGCTAGCTGGTAGGGCCAGGCTCAATAAGCAAAGAAGAGCCGAGTCGAGTCGGAATTCAGGACTAGGAGTAGGTTTCGTGAAATCATTGCCACCGGTATCTCATTCAGCTAGGTGATATTGATGCCACCGGTATATCAGCCGCCAATGACTGCAACGCCTTCGCCGCCGGTACGTGCGAGCGTTGTAGACTAGTACCATTGGCTTCCGCCGGTACCACCAGCACTATACCGGTAGCTACAGCTGCCTATTGTTGCAATACACAATCCTTCCATCTTCCATCACCCCACAAAAATTGAAGCTTTCTGCTCACAATTCCCAAATTAATCTGCCAACCACCACAAAGATGAAGATCGCTTCACTCCCTCTCTTTTCTGTTACCATCATGACATTGATGGCCATGGCCAACGGTGATGCTGTCTGCTTTTCCACAGATGTTACCGCCACAAGCACATTCGTTACTACGGAATCATTTACTCTAGCTGGAACCACCAACATCCAATGTAGTGTGGACTGTAGCGGTGTGAAAGACTTTGCCCTTCAACTGATTGTTGGTGGGACTGTTCCGACTAGTACAGTGGCTTGTGGAACCGCCATTTCCCACATGACATCCTCAAGTGTATACCTAGGATATTTGACACTAGACGGCACCATGGACCTGACCATTACGTGTATTTGCGTTGGTGCCACCACATCTGCTCCCGCTCCCACTCCTGCCCCCGCTTCCTCTTGTTTTTCCAAGGAAGCCACTGTGGCAGTGCAACAGCCAGGCCAAGGTCAAGGCCAAGGACAAGTACCCACCAAGATGGTGGACCTCAAGATTGGAGACATGGTCTTGACCGCCAACAACCGTTACCAACCAGTCTATGCCTTTGCTCACAATGATGCCACCACTGACACCCAGTTCCTTCAAATTCACACCACAAGTGGCAAGAACAAGAAACCATTGGAAGTCACTGGTGAGCATTTGGTCTATGTGCAGGGCAAGGACGCTCCAGTCACGGCCAAATCCATCAAGGTCGGTGATAGTCTCGCCCATGCTCAAGCTGGACATGGACAAGGAGGAGCTGCAGTCATCACTAAGATTGAGACTGTCCAGCACCGTGGAATCTATGCTCCCCTGACTCAGGATGGCACCCTTGTGGTGGATGGCATTGCCTCCTCTTGCTACATTTCCCTCCAGCCCAATGGCGATCCCGAAATGATGAAATTAAACGGCCACTCTGCGTCCATTATCTCTCACCACCATGTTGCTCACATGCTCATGACTCTGCCTCGTTTGGTTTGCACCGGTGGGATCAGCCCCAAATTGTGCCAGACGTACAATAATGATGGTGTCGCTCACTTTGTGCAGATGGCGTTTGATTTGTCCGACTGGTTCCATGTGCAGCACTGGGCGGTCCAATGGTTCCTCTTGGCTGCCTACTTGAGTGTCTTGTGTCCCCTCTATGCCTTGGAGCTCTTGTTCGGTGCAAAGTTGGCTGCTGCTGTGGTTGTTGGTGGATTGGTCTTTGTGGGTTTTGTCCGTGGAACTAATGCTCCTGCTGTGGACCCAATGGACTTGAAGAAAGAAGCTTGAAGCATCCACAACCTGTCCCAAAAGTACCATACCGTACTATTTGAATTTTCTAAATTGCATAGTAGTGACGGATTATCACAAAAACCTGGACAACAACGGTCCTACCTTTAGAACACGATAACTTGCTTTGAGCGGATGTATGGTGGGTGCATGTGGGCGGGGCTACATACTAGCTAGGTATGCATATCTTTGCCTGGTTTGAAATTGGCCAAGCTTGGTCACTGTAGCTCTTGAGCAGCCCTTGTTGGTCTGTTTGTGGTGGACCATGGTTCTTTTTCTCACCTCCTGGGCCCGGAAAGGTCTCGATGCAACGAGCAATAGGTTGAAATTGAGAAAGGTAGAAAGGCGTGCGAAGGTACTGTAGCGTAGGAACATTGAAGCTACCGTACCGATCGGTACCGGTACGGCAAGGCCTTCAGTTCTTTGCGTGCCGTCAATTGGTGGTGCTGACAATGTACGGCAGAGGCTCTGGTCTAGGCTGTGCCCTTTCTCCCGATGAGTGACGAGTCGAGTGGCTAGCTAGTAGAGTGTACCGGTAGTCAGTCAAGTCTATCATCGTTGCATTTCACAAGGTAGACCTGCAGTACGGGAAGGTTTACGGGTATTGTAGATGCTGAAACCTGCTTTTTGCATGATTTTAAATCCTTTCTCTGTCTCAATTCTTCCGTGGAGGAAATATTTGCTTAAAGGTAATGTTTGTTTTGATAATCCTTAGTTCACCTAAACCATGTTTGCAAGGAGTCACTCAAGTTTACAGTTAAGTAAAATTTTGCCACCGATAGTTCAAGATGACTGACAATCTATGATGTGTACTGATTTTGCTACAGTGACAAATGCACAAGACCACCCAAAGACAAAAGCTGCACTGACACTTCATCATTGTACAGTACCGGTGGTGCGAGTACCGTTCTGCGGGACGACGAAAGGATCATGCGACTTTGGCAGACGGCCTCCATTTCTCACAATTTATTTTTTCATCAAGTCTTCTACTAGCAGACTAACCAACACTACAGTAAGCAAGCTAGAGCTTCCATGCCATTGCAGCCATGACAAGTGCTGATGTCCACCAACCAGAAGAATGTGAATCAGGAAGCAAGGCCGAGATTCTAGCCGTTGCCAGCTACGTTCGTCAGCAATGCCAAGAACAAACGGAGAAACCGACGGAATCTCTTGCAGTGCCATCCTTATGCTTATCCTTATCCACAGTCAAGCAGCTCATGGAGACAGTCAAGCAGGCTGCAACTGGCTATAGCAATAGTACTGGTAGTACTGGTAGTACTAGTACCATGTTGAAGTCCCTGCTCAGTGACACCAAGAAGATTGCGTCCATTGTCCAGCGAATGGTCAAGCTGCACCCAGTGCTCCAACTTATCGAGGGTCCGACCATTCTGCAAGACCTGACAAAAGCCATGGGAAAACTGTACTCAACTCTACATGTCCTACAATCAGTAGTACATGTAGCACAAACTGCTGTGACTTGCAGAAATTGGAAACAGATGCAAGCAAAACTGGAATTCCTGGTCGAAAAAGCCACATATGACAAGGCACAGCTACTGCATACATGTACAGGTAGTACCACCACCACCCCATGCTCTCCAGTTTTGCAGACATGTCTCCAGGAAACAACTACTAGTACCGGTAGTAACGGTAAACCTTCCAAAGACCTTTTGAAAGTTCTGCAACGGCACAAACGCAAGCTCTGCCAAAAGGCCATGGACGAAACCAAAGAGGAATCCAAACGGGAAAGAGCCAAAGCACTGGTAGAATACCTGGACAAATTGTTGGACAAACTTGCCAATGCCGACAATGACAACAACGACAGGAAGCAAACGAGAGTGTCGGAAGCAGCAGGAGAATTGCCATCGTTTGGAAGTCCAGGAAAAGTCTCCTTATTGGAGGATGAACTGGGGCCCAGTGCCCACCCAACCAATTACAAAAGCATGCTCCTCTTGTTCAGTAACAGCAAGAATGAGGGCAACGCCAATGCCAATGATAACGACTTGCGTGTCTCGGTGTCTACGATGGGTTTTTCGGATGGGGATGATGATGGCAATGATGCCATCTTGGGACAAGAAAACCCCTATCCGGAAGAGGAGGAGGTAACAGATGACTATGAGGTCCCCATCCAGGATAATCTGGGACAAGATAGCACCGGCATTACTCGTACTAGGAAACCTTCGGCACAACAATCACTGGACGAAATGTTCAACAGTGCACTCAACCGACAAACCACCACGGATACCCAAATGACAGAAGTGGTCGACAATCGAGCCTTGATTCAACAGACAAGACCAAAGCTACGACCATTGGACCGCTCCACAATGACACAACTAAAGACCCGCACTGCATGTACTATGGATGATGACTCCGTTGACACACTTCATCGCAAACAAGCATGGAAGACAGCTGCAAAGGCCAAGCAGCAACTGCATGAAGATGCAAGTCTCATGGATGATTCTAGTAGCGGAGGAGTTCTTGGTTCCAAGATGGACGAGGGCGATGCTCATCCCAGCAACGACAAGAGCAACGACAAGAGCAGCACTCGTCGAAAGCACACCCGCGGCCTGAGCCCCTTCCGGACAAAAGCAAAACCTCAACCAGCAGACACGTCGTATCCTATGGTCGATCATGCCGATACCGATACTGGCAAAATCAATCTGCAAAAGAGCAAGCCCAAGAACCCTGTCAAGAAGCTGTTCAAAATGCTCAAGGGAGGCAACGTTCACTCAAAGGAGCAGGAAAAGGGGGACACTCTCAGGGTTTCTGTGAACCAGCAGAAAGACCAAAATAGAGCATTGAAAATGTCTACATCCGGCAAAGTTCCGTTGACGAATGCATCAGTGAATACGGCCATGACGGCTTCCATGAATACTGCATTGTCTTTGGCCGATCACCACCGGGATGAAAGATACAGCCAGATGACCAGCCAATGTGCCAGCAACAACTCCACTTTGCCATCCGGCAGTGGGCACTCTATAACTATTGCTGGCACCAGGGTAGAACCTACTAGAAACAGAAACACCAACAAGAAATGCATGGACGCGCCACCGCCGTTGGTGCCAATGACCGGAGATGGCAACACCGTCTTTTTAGAAGGAAAGAACCGAGCAGAGTAGTTATCGAGATCGAGACTAATCAATCGACTGTGGACTCAAGGACGACGATCCTAGCTACTGGTTTTGGAAGCCTTCAGCTGCTGGTGTAAAATTTAAGGGAGGATAAAAGAGAGAATTAGCTCAACCATTGGAAGGTCCTGGATGGTACTGGTTCCACGTGAATTTCCCACTCCCCGGGGGGGCTACCATCGGTACCAGTACAAGTACCAGGTACTAGCTAGCTAGCTAGAGCTGCTACCAGCATCTGGGATCCCAACAGAGAACCAAATACAAATTCCGTAGCTTTTTGAAAATATGAACTTCTCAGTTGTAAAGCTCGAGCCCGACTGTACGTACCAGGTACCGGTAAGTCATCCCACAAGGGTCCGGGTGTCCGGTTTTTGAATGGTAAACCAAGACCTCACCAGCTCCAACGCTGGCTTATTCGGAACCTCAGCTCCGCCGGTCCGCCGGTCCATTCGACGTCAATCTACGATGTAGCTAGTACTAGACGTTAGCGTAAATATAATATTTAAAAACTACGCTGGACCTGCCATGTGTGTGCGCTTTTGCAACCGTACGCACAATCCTTGGAGTGAATGAGTGAATGACGACTCGACTCGAGCGTGGATGAATCGAATCGAATCCTAATTAATTTTTGGAAGCGTTTTCAAAAACTCATTAGAGCTTCTTTTTGAGCTCTAATGCATTTTTGAAAACGCTTCCAAAATCTAATTAGGATTCGACGTATCCACGACTCGAATCCTGATTCTTCTTCACCTTATCTTTTGCTGGTACCGGTAGGTCTACTAGTAACGGTACCGGTACCACTATTGCAATATGCATAGTACCGAGACCGGACAGCTATTTTTTTTAAAATACTATAAGTGCTGTATGGAAGGCACGAGGCTCTTGGATCATAAATAAAAAATAAATGCTGCCAATGGAAACACCATCACTTATTACACCTGCATGTAATGGGCCGACGGCCTCAATGCCATGCCAACGGTACATCAGCCGGCGAGAATGACCTCCCCCGGTACCTGCCGCGGCCTACCAGTACCCTCACCGGTTCAAGCAGTGTGAGATCGAACATTCTGCCTCATAAACTGGATATTTTCTAGCTAGAGTTGTTTTTACGAAACTTCCCATAGAGGCTGCCCACCACAAAGATGAAGATCACTTCACTCCCTCTCTTTTCTGTTACCATCATGACATTGATGGCCATGGCCAACGGTGATGCTGTCTGCTTTTCCACAGATGTTACCGCCACAACCACGGGTGCGTATACTGAAGCAATTTCGGTCCTAACTGGAACCACCAACGTCCTATGTAGTGTGGACTGTGATGGTTCTGTCCGCTTCGATCTTCTTCTGCAGACTGCTGGGGTTAGTGAGTCTTGGGCATTTACTTGTGGAACCACGATTAGCAGCAACATGAAAATCGAAAACCTAGGCTTATATTATGAGTCAGCAGGAAGCATGAACCTGGCCATCATGTGTTCTTGCATTGGAGCCAGTGCTCCTGCTCCGGCTCCCACTCCTGCCCCCGCTTCCTCTTGTTTTTCCGAAGAAGCCACTGTGGCAGTGAAACCTCCTGGCCGAGGGCAAGTACCAGTACCCACCAAGATGGTGGACCTCAAGATTGGAGACATGATCTTGATCGCCAACAACCGGTACCAACCCGTCTACGCCTTTGCTCACAATGATGCCACCACTGACACCCAGTTCCTTCAAATTCACACCACAAGTGGCAAGAACAAGAAACCATTGGAAGTCACTGGTGAGCATTTGGTCTATGTGCAGGGCAAGGACGCTCCAGTCATGGCCAAATCCATCAAGGTCGGTGATAGTCTCGCCCATGCTCAAGCTGGACATGGAAAAGGAGGAGCTGCAGTCATCACTAAGATTGAGACTGTCCAGCGCCGTGGAATCTATGCTCCAATGACTCAGGATGGCACCCTTGTGGTGGATGGCATTGCCTCCTCTTGCTACATTTCCCTCCAGCCCAATGGCGATCCCGAAATGATGAAATTAAACGGCCACTCTGCGTCCATTATCTCTCACCACCATGTTGCTCACATGCTCATGACTCTGCCTCGTTTGGTTTGCATGGGTGGGATCAGCCCCAAATTGTGCCAGACGTACAATTACGACGGTGTGGCTCACTTTGTGCAGATGGCATTTGAGTTGTCCGACTGGTTCCATGCCCAGGACTGGGTGGTTCAGTTGTTCCTTTTGGCTCTCTACTTGGTGGTCTTGTGCCCCCTCTATGCCTTGGAGCTCATGTTTGGTGCAAAGCTGGCTGCTGCTGTGGTTGTTGGTGGATTGGTCTTTGTGAGTTTTGTCCGTGGAACTAATGCTCCTGCTGTGGACCCAGTGGACTTGAAGAAAGAAGCTTGAAGCATCCACAACCTGTCCCAAAAGTAGGTAGTACTCAGAGTAAATGGAATTATTTGAAAATATAAAGGCTGTGCATGCATGGATGACTCTGACTTCTGTAGATATCTTCCCCAGTACGTCCAGACGAGGCTCCGTTGGCACAGTTCTCTGAAAAAAAGTATGGATGGCGGCTGTAATTCTCATGGATGATTCTAGAGGGGAGGAGTTTTTGGTCCTTAAATGTTGAATGGTGATGATCGTCCCAGCAAGCAGAAGGACGGCGCTCATTGACAGATGCAGCCTCGGCCCTTTCCGGACAAAGACAACACCCCAACAAGCAGAAGTTTCATATGGTATGGTCGAAGCTCACAACTACCGCCATTGGCATCCGGCAAAGTCATAGTTCAGTTGACAAAATGCATCAGCGAATATGGCCATGACAACTTCCATAACTACCGCATTGTCTTTTGCGGATCACCAAAAGCCTTCAGCTACTGGCGTGCATAAATGCATACAAGCTATGTTGTGCTAAAAATACAAGGATTTGTTCCATTTTTTGTAGGTAGATCT